CCAGGCTGGGATACGTAGAGATGCAGCAAAGAGTTAACATTGAGGCCCAGGTAGATCAGCAGTCTGTTGTTCTTCAGCTCATGTTCTGTTTCTAGTGCATCTGTTTTGCTTATGATCTTGTCAATTAGTCTCCCTGACTAGCCAGAGCTCTGTACATTAATGCCTGTTGTTTCTTCCTCCAGTAGCATCCTTCTCTTTCTGCTCTCTCCCATCTATTCAAGCTTCATCTGTGCTCTTTCTGGTCAGTTAAACCAACAAAGAGCTGGCTATCTTCATTTTTCAGCAGTTGCAACTGCCAAGTCTTGAGTTCCCAGAACCAGCATCTCCATTTCTTTGAGGAGACAGCCGGGTCTGAAGCTGATCTATTTTGACCCCCATCTTCTCATTTTCAGAGAGTATCTTTTGGTTGTGTTTCTTCAGCTGGAGCAACTCAGTCTCCCAGAAGCCCTTTTGCTCTCCACCTTCTGCTCTGACTTCTTGCAGATGCTTCAGTTTCTAACTGCCCCTGCTTGTTCCGCAGCTCAGCCTGGAGGCTGGCACAGCTGTCAGTTCCTGGTTTTCTTGGTAAAGCTCCTAGTGCCACTGGATCCCTTCCATCTGTCCCTTAGTGGTAAGAATCATGAAGCCCTTCTTGTGTTCTGGATAGAACTGAGAAGGGATACTTGCTCGCTGGACCACATTATCTTGATCCACATAGCAGAACCAGTAATGCTCATCATCCTTGGGCAGATAAGCTTTAAATTGAACTTCCTCCTGGTTGGTTGATTCCAGGAGACTGGACAAAGCAACCCACATGACGGCATAATATTCCTGGCTCATCATCTATTCCACCATAAAGATGCCGATCCTAGTTGGGCAGTAGTGGTGCACACCATTAATCTCGGTGCTCAGGAAGCAGAGACAGATGGATGTCTATAAATTCGAGGCCAGCCGGGTCTTCAGAATGAGTTCCAGGACAGAGAAACCATGTCTCAATGAAACAAAACAAAAAACAAAAACAAGGCAAAATATGCTGATTAAATCCTTGTGAAAGGGGCTAAAATGTTTGGTGAAGGTGTGATTCCATGTGACATACTCTCCAATGACATAGAATTTCTCCACACTGTTAAAAATGACCTGAGAGAAATGACAGTGACCTAGCAGCCAATACAGGGGGTTCAGAGACAGCAGCCAGCAGCAGAGCAACAGAACAGGGCATGTCTATTGAGTATATCTTAAATAGTAGGCAGATCTTGTCCTAATCCATTTTCATATGCTAATTTATTTAATCCCATAATCATCCTGTGATTCAGGTAGTTAATCTCCTTTCTGAAAAAGATGAGAAAGCCAAACAAAATAAAAATTACATAAATCACTTTTCATCAAGATTTAAAACTTTTGTATTAAAGGACACTGTCAAGAGAGTGAAGACAAAACACAGAAGGAAGAAAGTATTTGCAACTATCTATCTGGTAAGGGACCAATACAACTTGACAATAAAAAAAAAAAATCACCGCTCCAGCTCAAATACCCAAAGGTCTTGACAGACATCTATCCAAAGAAGAGAAACATATGGCTTCATTGTTCTTTCCAGGAGAATTAGATGTGTCCTTTACTTCCATGAAATGCCACATTCACTGGTCTTTCTGGGTGCCATCTCATGTGCCACTGCACACTCCCATGTAAATTCCCTTTAAGGCTGATCTCTAAACATGGATCCTCAAGGCTCTGACTTAGTTCTCTGTTCATGACTTTAAACACTCTCCAGAATGCAAACATTGCCCAATTTAGACCTTGCTTCTGAACTTATGCTCATGTATCAGTCTGCCCTATTCAATATTCCCACCTGTGGATTGAGAAATATTTGTCACCTAACCAATCCCAAACCAATGCCTGGTATCTCTTACAACTTAGCTTGCTGCCCCACCCCAGTAAATGACAACAGGATCCACAGGCCCACACCCTTAAGGTCATCTAGACTTCTGGCTCACACTGTCTTCATGAAATTGACAAATCAGTTTATTCAGAACCTGACCACGTCTCACTGACTTTGCTGACAAACTTCAGTTCTTACCCAGATGACTACAGTAGACATGCATCTTTCCTTTTCCCCAATACTGGCTAGACTTTTGTAAAGAACTGAGGACATTTTACATTTTTAAGCATCATAAAGCCTTAAAAACTTTCCTCAGTGATTTCCTCTTAGAGCAAAAGCCCTATAGAGTAACCCACTGCACCTGAAGCGTTTATCTAATTATTATTTATCAATAAAAAACTTGGAAGTCAGATATCAGGATAAAAACCTCAATGATCAGAGAAGTGGTGGTGAAGCAATTGTGCCCTCTGCTCCTGGTTCCTAGATCCAAGAGGGCCAAGACCCTCTCTAAGACCCACCTTACTGCTTCCTGTGTCCATCTGTCCTCAGTTCTCCAGAACCTCTATGACTAATTTTGGTCAGATAGTAGCTGGCTCTGCCCTGATTCAAAGCAAACTTTCTGGCCGTCTTGGGAGCATCAGAATGCGATCAAAATATCCCACAACATGCCCACTTTTAAATGGGCTTTAGCCCGTTGCTTCATTCCTGTGTCAAGGAACACTTTGTTTTGCATACCTTTCTCTGTGGTATTTGTGGAACTCTTTCCTTCATTCCTTTTGTATCTGACTGCCCTGTATAAAAAGGATTCTACTTTAAATATGACTATTTTTGTATAGCACTTATCATAGCTGACTTTACAAGTGTGCCCCTTTCCCATGTAGTATTCAGCAGCAGAGAGAAACTGTTCGTAGATTCATCTTCATCCTTAAGAACAGTGCCTGGTGTGCAGCAGTCATTATAACTTTGGTTAATTTAAAAGTGCATGAGTAAAAATTATAGTTTGTGATATTGATCTCTGTAGTAGGTAAGGTTTTCAAAAATGGGGGCCCACAGTGAAAACAGTATGAGGGCTTCTTGGTTGTCAAAATGATATTATATCACCCCAGGTATTTTGTTTTTGAGCTGGAGACTGAACTCATGTCCTGAGACATGTCAAGAGCTTACTCTAGCACTAAGCTGCACCCTCAACCCATATTCTGTGCTTTGAAGCTAGCTGCAATTCTCTAAACACAACATGAAGACAAGAGTGGGGGCCAAGTTTACTGGTGCACTCCTGCAATCCCAGAGGCAGAGCTGAGGCTTGCCTCAAGTTCGAGGCTAGCCAGGGTCACATGGAGACTATATTAAAAGAGAAAATTGTGGGAAGAGCACAAGTGAGTGACAGCACATGCAAGAGATATAAAACCCTGATCAAACCCTAAATCACATAATCTGAAGGTTTTTATTTTTCCCCAGTCTAACACTTCTCTGCATGATAATCAAGAGATTTTTGCAGGAATTGAACACCGCAGCATTGTCACTTCTTTATTACTAGGCTCTAGGCAGTAGCTTAACACACATTGAATGGAAAGCTTTCTTCAAAACAAAATGGAAGACCCAAGACCCAAACCAATTAAGAATGAAGTGTTTTCAATCCATCATCTTTTAGAAATTACACCCTCACACTCTATTTTCTCTTTGAGACAGGGTCTCACTGTGTATGGCTATCCTGGAACTCTCTCAGTAGACCAGGCTGGCCTCAAACTCACAGGGATATACTTTCCCTTCTATATATAGCTCTTTATGTTCAAGGGGAGAAGTGCTGGCTAAACATCCTTGTCACTATTGAGAAATGATGTTTGGTGTTTTAGATCTCATAAAATATTCACATATATGTTTTTCATTATAACTTTGTTATTGGTTATAGTAATACAATGATAACCTATTATTAACCATTTGTATAGTTTCAAGTTCAAGCAATATACATGCTTCAAGGTTAATAGCCAGGTGTGAGAGTTAAAGAATAAGGTTGAAGACAAAATATTTCAGGTTCAGGAACCACACAGAACTCCATTTCATCCTGTACTTGTCATGCAGATGAACCTAAGAAATATTCTTTTGTTGCAGAAATGGTAAACCAGAAAATTTTATTAGAGGAAACCTAAGACACACCTTCATGATGCAAAGATCATATAACCTAAAGGGAAAGGAATAATATAGGGCCGTAGAATTTACACACTTCTCAGACTTTCAGGCTCTTGGTGCTTGAAGATACAAGGCATCCTTTGTTTTAAAACACTATTAAGTTCTGTGCTATAACAAGCTCTTCAAGTTTTAATTACTTTCTTCTCTTGCCACCCTTAAAAGGAATCATTTCCTCCCAGTCTCTGAAAGCTGAAAAAGAAAATCTCAAGTTATTTGCTGTGTCTCAAGATTTGGGATTCTCTTACACCTTAGTGTGGAATGACAAGCTTGGCTTGACACTGTAAAGCTACACCTCTTCATTAATAGAGAAACAGGGCTGGAGAGATGGCTCAGTGCTTAAGAGCACTTCAGGCTCCTGAAGAGGGCTCAGATTCAGTTCCCAGCACCTACACCGAGGCTCATAACTGCTTGTAACTCCAGTTCCAGGATATCTAACACCCTTAAAGACCTCTGCAGTCTCCTGCACATACATGGGGGCACATAAATGTACTCAGACACATCCCATAAAAACCAGGTAAACAATGCTTAGAATAGAAGATATTTTTAAAGGTCTAGTTTAATACCCAAATCATAATTATAATGTGCCTTTTTCTTAGAGATGAGTTCTTGTTTTGTTTGTAATTCGAATCTACTGACTTCCAAATGCCAGGACTCTGTATTGTCTTAGTGGCTAGCTTTAAAATAAAATAAATACACTCTAATGCTTAAGAACACTTGTTGGTATCTTTGAACTTAATTAGCATAATGTTTGACTACTTTGAATGCCTGATTCACAGAACTCTTGGGCCTGTTTTCTTAGCTTTAAATCTCAAACTTAGACTCTATGGATATGTATGCTGTTTTCTATGTAGAAACATGAATACTTGTAGGTTGAAGCTTTTCTTTCAAATTAGGATTAAATTCCAAGAGTTTCAAATTCTTAGGATTAAATTCTAAAAAATGTTTTGTTAACTTTTTCCAGATGTACATTCGAGGAAAATTACTCTTTGCCAACTTTATTTTCAATGGTTACAGCACATCTATTAATGACCTTCAAAAGCAAATTGTGAAGACCAGAAAGGATTATCATATGGGCTATTTCCTACCCAATGACTTCAGAATACGGTATAATAACTACACATATCTTTTGTCCTCTCACACCTTTTAAAAACAAATCTTTATTGTTTTATGTGTATGCATGTTTTGCCTGCATGTATGTCTGTGTACCATGTGCATTTCCGAAGCTGGTAGAGGACATCAGATCACCTGGAACTGGAGTTCTAGAAGATCATGAGCTACCACATAGGTCCTGGGAACCAAGGCTAAATAGATGTGGATCAGTTAGTGCTCTTAACCACTGAGCCATGTCTCCAGCCCCAGGTGGGGTCTAGTTTGTTTGTCTGTTTTTCAAGACATGGTTTCTCAGTGTAGCCCTGATTATCCTGGAACATCTCTGTAGTCCAGGCTGGCCTCACACTCAGGGATTCACCTGCCTCTGCCTCCTGAGTGTTGGGATTAAAGATGTGTGTTACCACCATGCACTTTAATTTCACATTTTAACCAGCAAATCTCACACAAAGGGCATGTTTTAGAACTTGATTTTTTGGGTACTTTTTCTCCTTGGTCAAACATTTCCTGGAGAAGGGTACTTTATATTTTTAAAAGTTCCAAGAAAGGCTACTTACTTTCTCTTTATTCAGCATTTTATTTACAGAGCCATTTTGAGGCCCTGGGAATATCCCGAGAGAAGGATATTAATTCCCTCCTTGATGCTGTCTTTTCTGTCAAGAGGCTAACAGATACAACCTGCTGTATCCAGAGAGAATGGTGAAAATTGAAATTTTAAACTAAAGCCATATAGTGGTGCTGCAAACCTCTAATTCTAGCAGTTAGAAGGAGGCTAAGGTAGGAGGATGGCAGGGCCTTTGATGCAAGAACTGTGTCAAACAGTGTCTTAAAAATAAACTACCACCACCAAAAAAAAAAAAACCCAAACAAACAAACAACCACCCAAACAAACAAAAATACCCTGAGCAAACAAAAAACTGTAACAACAACAAAAACCTGGGTAACCTAAAATTAAGCCACTGCTTTCACTCTGATAAATTATCACCAGGTATTTAGTAAGCAAAAGTTAGGCTAATGATTCAAAAGATTGCCTAGGCAATACCATATTTTTTATTCTTGCATAAAGTGCTGGGAAGTAATAAAGGAAGAGAAGTAGCGACAGGAGGAAGAGAAAGGCCTTCTTCCTTCTAGTCATAGTCCATGTTGCAAAGGGCAGGGTAAAAAAGAGACACACAAAAACATACAAGGCATTTCAGATTTTATTAGAGATGATTTAAGCTCGGAACAGTTATACAGCATTTGCAAGCCTACAATCTAAAAGCTTTTAAAAATAGTTGACAACAAACTGATGTAATAAAACACCGAAAGAGACTAATCAAGTGCTGTGTTTAAAAGGAGGCATATGTACACACACAACAGCATTATTTATAATAACCAGGAAGGGGAAGCGGTCAATGTCCACCAGTAGATGAATGATCAATAACATGTAGTAAATGTGTAGATTACTGGGCTCTAAAAAAAGAAATTCTGTCACATGCTAAATGAGAAGAACTGAGGTCATAACAGGAAACGGAATGGTGCCTGCCTGCCAAGGGCCGTGGGAAGCAGCGGGAGGAAGGGAACTCTTATCTAAGTGATAGAAGAGTTTAAACTTTCTACAATGAAAAGTTCTAGAAACGCTTCATTAAAGGTACAGACATTTCCTGAATTGAACTTAAAAGTGGCAATAGTAACATTTTTGGTGTTTTATCCCAATTCAACAAAAAGCCCCCGCCCCTCCGCAAAGATTTTATAACCTCAAGTTTTCAGTTAGGGTAGGAAATGTAGAATTCTAAGTTCTAATATATAGGAATAAATAACCATGAAACAAAACTAAAAAGTATCTGAAAAAGTATTTCCAAAAGTCATTTTTGGTGGGGGAGGGGGGGTTGGAGGATATCAGAGACAGGTCTCAGAGCAGACTTGAAAAACTTACTAAAGAGCCAAACCTTGCCAAGAATGGTGGCACACATCTGTAATCTCAGCACTCTAGATGTGGAGGCAAGATGATTGCCAGAAGTTCAAGACTAGCCTGGTTCATACAGCAAGTAATAGGCCAGTCAGTGTTACAAAATATCTCAATTAACAAAACAAAATAAAAACCCCAACAAAAACAACAACAAAACAGAGCTAGGTACAGAGCTAGGTTTGGTGATACATACTTACACCAGAACCTGGGAAGTAAAAGTAGGAAGGTCAGGGGTTTAAGGCCAACCTTAGCTACATAGAAAGTTCAAAGCTAGCCTAGGATATGAGACCCTGACTTAAAAAAGAAACACACACAAAACCCTCATTAAATAGTCCACATTTTCCTATTTTCAGTGTCCATAGTTAATAATACTGTACATCAACCTAACACATTCACCTGCATTTTAGGCAATGTGAAGGAATACAGCTAGCCATGTTAATTAAATCCATAAGGAAAATACTACACAATAGTATGGTATGAACATGGTGTAGAACCAATGCCACCGTTGAGTTATTCACATGAGCCACAATAACTGTGACCTGGTGACCTAAATTTGCTGATGTGATCAAGACTGGTTGGACAGCACAATTTCAAGTTCCTTATATATGGAGAGCTTGTTAGTCTACACTAAATATGAAAAGAATACACTTCTAACGCTTACCATAATTTTTAAGTCTGGATGTTCCTTCATGCTTTTTCAGAATTCTCATCTTCCAAATCAAAACAAATAAGGATGCAGTTGATTATAGCAATGCCAGTTGTGATATGACGCCATATAATATATTATCAAAATGGTTTAAAAATCCAGAGCATCAAGGAAGAAAAATGATGTTCTTAAAATATTCTTTTACAGACTCCTGATGTAAAATCTGAGGGCTTAAGCCACTGTACTGCTCTACCTTGTTATCAGGAACCACAGAAAACTTTTCAAGTGAGCTCTGATGTGCAGCAGACTCATGATAGGGAAAAAATAATAGTTTCTGAAACAAGAATTTAAAATCACTTAGCATTAGAACGAAAAAATGAAGACTGATGTCTTCCAGAAAGTGTGACTAAACTACCCAGTTGAAGGGCACTGATAACATTGTCACTGACAGTAGTTACTAAAACAGGTTTCATCCATTTTGCTGCTTCTTAAAACAGACATTTTCATCTATTTTATCTGATGACAAAAATCACAAGAACAGTTCTCCTCACTGGCAAGTAATTAACAACCACATAAAATTTCTATTATGGGAAACTAACGTAGTATATATTAGTCTCGGGAGACTTTGTTGTTACCAGATGCCACTTTGATTTTAGATAGATCAACCAGCCAATGCTTGCTAAACAACAGATACACATATGAAAAGTGAATCTTGCTGAGTACAGGATGTGTGGTCAGCCTCAGTTATCTTCAGTCTTCACACTCTGGATGGTTCAGGAATGATGCACGGGCTTAGGTTGGTTCTAGGATAGGCCCAGGGGCCTGGTTTGATCTGGGATCCCTGGGACCATACCTAGAACAAACCCAAACAAAACCAAACTCCTTGGGACTGCTTTCATCTGGAATGGGCTTCTGGGCTCCTCACCCATGTGGGCCTTCAGGGCTGTATCAGGGCCACATACCAACCTTTAAGGGACACGAGTGATGTTCTTGGAGCCTTCCATACATTGTTACATACTAATACTGTGCCTGAATAAGTTGCAGTATTGAACAGAAGGTACAGACTAGTAGGGAGAAGGGAGAACATACTTGGACTTAGAAATGGAGTCAACTTAGTCATTTAACTTGGAAGAAGAGGGCTAAGAAGTTGTTTAGATCACTATAAAGGAGTGAATTTACAAATGACATACTTTAGTTTCAGAAAAAAATATTCAACAATGAACTTATCTGTATGTAGTCAATGTTTAGGAAATGTTATAAAACTGAAAAGTCTTAAGAAATAAATAAGAATAAATATATCTGCCTAGCACGACAACTATAGTCTCATTTTTAAGCTTGCATAATCCAGAAGTATACACATCCTAACCATCATTTCTACTTTACCAACACATGTGCTAAATGAATTTCAGTACACAGGGATAAAACTAATGTCACAGCTCATAGACTAAAATGGATACTAATGTACTACATTTTAAAGGCATCATATGCATTTTAGTCTATCACACAATTATTACTATATGATCCTGACTGACCTGGAATCCATTATGCAGCCCAGGCTGGCCTCAAAATCAGAGATACAAGTGCTTCTGTCTCTGGAGTGCTAGGATTAAAGCCGTGTTTCACCATGCCTGGATTTTATCACACATTTAAAGTTAGGTATAAAGTCAGTTCTTGATTCTGCTAACTTCTGCCCTGGTATGAATTCCTTCTCTTTGGTTTACAGCAGCTGCACTAAGTAGAAGTATGCTCCTCTAACGGCTTATTCAAAAAGAAGCACCAAGCATGTCTGGCATCACTCTCTTCTACAATGGTGTCAACACAAGAAACTGGTTTGGACCATTATTTTTACAATTACTGTATCGTAATTCCCTTCCTTAACCTGGATAACTGAAGGCCAGCTGCATGAAGCATGATTATAAAATAGACTGCCATACTACTCACACTGTGTATGATGAAAATGAGTCCCAATAGAACAATGAAATGAACACTAGGAGAGCACTTCTAGACAGATTCTAGTATTATGTGAGAATATTACATTTTTTTCATTAGAGAGAGGAACATCATCTTGCTTGTTTTATATATTAAAGGCTAATTTAGGCATATCAGCTACTGAATGGCAGTGGAAATTCTATCACTCTGTTATTGGCCTTAGCTCCAACAGTGATAAATCATGGGAAGCTTTTAATGTATATTTCCTTAAGTTGAATGAAAGAAAGCAAAGGTACCATTTAAAAACCTAGCATATTAAAGAATTAAGTTTTCGTAGCCTAGAGTCTACAAGCCCAATACTTTTCAGACACCTTCAATAATTAATGTTTTTTTGTTTTCCAGGCTTACTGTACTTCATTTTGGAAGTGAAGATGCATTTCTCTTTTTATAAAAAGCCAAAAGAAATTCATAACAGCATGTGGCATCCAATTCAAACAGAAAATATAAATGACAATGCCAACTCCAATGGACTGGTTTTAATTACCACAAAAGAATTACAATATAGAACTAACTTTAGAGAAGGCAAAATGGTTATTTCTGTGTAATGACAATTCTATTTTGAGAGCAGGCATTTAAACCAGTATTTTTATTATATCAAGGACTGCAATTTAGAGGGTCATAAGAAATGCTACAGAAAAGTCAATGGGCTCAAGTAGTAGGTCTTTTTGGTCCACCTCTATGTGCTCTTACCTTACACAATTTAACTCGCAGAGTCATCCAGTCTTCAACCAGATCGGAAGGCATATGTGAACATGGAGAAAGGCTGCTAATTACAGCACACTTAAGGAAACAGTAACATAAATGTAGGAATGGGAGTAACCATCAAAATCAAACACATGATAATTAAAGCTCAGGCAAATGGAGCTCAAAGATGGGACAGTTCTCAGTGTTTAGTGTATCAGAGTATAATAGCCAATGTTAATGGAGCTCAAAGATGGGACAGTTCTCAGTGTTTAGTGTATCAGAGTATAATAGCCAATGTTAATATGATCATTTTGAGCTGGGTGTGGTAGTGCATGTCTTTAATCCTCGCACTTGGCAGGCAGAGACAGGCAGAAGTCAAGGCCAGCCTTGTCTATACAGTGAGTTCCAGGACAGCCAAGGCTACATAGAGAGACCCTGTCTTAAAAACCAATAATTGTGATAATAATAATAATTTTGTATATATCTATATGCTTGTGTGTGCATGTACACATGAGGTTATGTGTATACTTATTTGGGTGTGATTGTGTCTCTGTGTGTGTGTTAGGTCACAGGTTGGCGCTCAGTGTTTCTTTAGACCACTCTCACTGTTTAGGCCAGAGTTTCAAGACGTTTCCTGATTCTAACCCTCAGGGTTACTCCATTATACTCCCCTTTATATTTCGGTGCTGGGAACCCGAATGAAGGTTCTCCATTCTCATGCTTATGCGGCAATCACATTACCTCTGAGCCATCTCTCCAGCCCAGTAATAATCATTTTAATATAGAAAAGATTAAGGTATATTTCATATGTTATTAAAGAACTGGGTTGTCTGAATGATTCACTCCCAATCAAGTTAGCCAGTTCTTACCAAATGAGTTATATTTAGTTTCAAATCAGTAACTACTATGCAGGATTCATAATAATGACATAAACTTTAAACCTGTGTACTGAGTGGAGACTAACAAAAACAAATGACTAACATTTTTCTGGAACACAAACAATGACATAAAAAGATGACAGTCAATTTTTCCTTTACAGTTGAATTCATTAGTGAGGGATCCTAGAAATATCAGGATATAAACACCAAATTAATATTTTCAAATATATGGAAATCATATTTTCAACCAAGTATTTTTAGCAAGACACAAAATGTAAATAGAAGAATGCAAAGCAGCCAAACAGGCATGACACAGTCCATGCACATGACCAACAGAAAAGCTCTTAGCCTTTTCCAGTCTACTTACTCTTAGTTTAGACACAGTTCTAGCAAGCTTGGCAATCTGGTTTCTCAGTCCACAGCGAATTATAAGCAGCAAAATAGGGGCCTATTGCGGAAGGCAGGCACAGAACACAGCAGCAAAAGTGACAGCTGATTATAGGGGAAGATAGAGAAACTGTGAAAAAAACAGACACAACTCAAAAAGCAAGCAATATGAAATTAGGCAGCAGAGGAGTGCTTGACATTTTATGTCTCAGTTGTCCCTGAAACTGAATTGGTTTATTCTCCACTAGAAGAACTGATATTCTCAAAGAAAAGGCTAAACTACTTCCTGTACATGGTAGAATTAAGGGAGAAAAGTACAAAGTAAGTCCCAGTAGTAGACTGCTAAGTTCAGGGATTAAATGGATTTGCTTCCATACCCTGAAAGACAAGGACACTGAATGGTCACTATACCGGCATTTTGCTGTCTCTTACCTCTTCCGTTTTCTCTAAGCATAAAGTGCACAGATATGTCTCCCTAAACAGATCTGAAGAAAAATCAATCCTTATGCTTTGTGTGGTTGTTGCTCAAGCATTGTGCTCACTTTAGTTCAACCAGGCTTAGCTGTGTTACACTTTGGTCTCCAGTATTTGGTTCTTATATCCTGTTCTATTTGGGTCTAAAAGCAATACATTACAATAAACCAACCAGTGAACCCCCATATTATTTCTATTCATTTAGCAACATGAAACATGATTCACGTTTTATGTGGGAAGAAAACAGCAGAGTGAAAATGAAATCTAGGGTCACTTCTCAGCAACACTCCGTTATTAAATGTATCAGAAGTTGACTTTTCCTATGCTTAACATTCAAGCACTATGTCATTTACTATATGAATTAGGATATTACTTTTTTAATAAACTGAGGTATACATTTATAAGCAGATCTTACTCTTCAGCCTCCAAAGCATCATTTCTTTTTAAATTTCTAAGAAATTAGAAATGCCATTTAGAATTCAGAGAATCTGAGTTTTCCTGAGAAAGCTTTCCCAACATGATGAGGGTGAATGATAGGCCTTAGAAGAGCTAGTACAGGAGCAGCTAAATGCTCAGCACATTGAAGAATCAACCAGCCATTGGAATTCTCTTGTATTTGTTATTAAAAAGAAATCTGGAAAATGGAGAATGGTAACAGCTCTAAGAGCTGTTAATAAGGTGATTCAGCCAACGGGTTCTCTATGAGAAGCTTGGAATTCCTTTGCTTTCTTTATTACCTAAAGGATGATCTCTCATAATTATTGATTTAAAAGATTGTTTTTCTCAGTATACCTTTACAAGAAAGTCAGAAAAATTTGCTTTAACCATGCCTACTTATAATAATTCTCAGCCTGTAAAGAGATATTATTGGAAGGTTCTCCCACAGGAAATGTTAAATAGCCCCGCCCCTGGTGCTAACATTTCATGTCAGTCATTGGAAATAATACATAAGCAATCTCTCAATCTACAGTTTACCATTATATGTACAATATTTTACTAGCTGACTCAAATGTAGATACCTGAAAAGAATGTTTAAAGAAGTAAAGAAAATTTTGCCTTGTTGGGGATTACAAATTGATCGTGAAAAAATATGAAGAGATTCTATTAATTATTTAGGATATAATGTAGGTCTACAGAAAATTAGACTCCCCCCCCCAAAAGGTTCAAATTAGGATACTGACTGCTGACACTTAATAACTTTGAAAGACTGCTAGGAGATATCTCCTATCTAAGGTTCACTATTGGAGTAGAAAAAAAATGAACTGAGTAATTTGTTCAAACCTTAGATGGTGACAAGGACTTAAATAGTCCAAGAGAATTATCAGCTGAAGCTAAGAAGGATTTGGCTGGTGGGAAACAAATTACAGGATGCTCATGTCAGTTTGGATCTAAAGCTTGACTGCATTTTGGTTATTTTACTCTCTAAGCTTTCTCCTACAGGAATGTTAATACAGAGGGAAGATATCTTAGAATGGATCTTTTTGCCACATAAACTGAGTAAAAAATTAAAAACTATGTGGAAAAGATCTGAATTGATTCTAAAAGGAAAATTGAGATTTCACCAATTAGCAAGAATAAACCCTGCAGAAATTGTAGTACCTTTTACTAATGATGAAATTGACAAATTATGGGGAGAAAGTGAACCTTGGCAAAGAGATTGCAGTAATCTTTTGGGAGAGATCAACAACACATATCCAAAGCAAGAGAATTCAATTCCTAAAGAGGACTAACTGGATCCTTCCCCATATTATGGGAAACACCAATATCTGAAGTTTCTGCATTCTAAACTGATGCAAATAAACCAGGAAAGGCAGGCCACAAATCAGAAAACTTAAGTAGAATGGATCAAAGCCCTTATGATTCTTTCCAAAAGTCAGAATTATATGCTATTCTCATGGTGTTAATGGATTTTGCGGACCTCTCAACATAGTTACTGATTTGCAATATGCAGAAAGAGTTGTTTTGCACATTGAAAGCACTAAATTTAAATTGGATAATTTATTTATTTAGTTACAAGAAATATTCAGGAATAGGAATCATCCCATATACATAACACATACCTGATCTCCAATGGGCCTGCTAGGTCCTCTAGCACAAAGTAATGCAGAAACTGATCAATTATCAATAGGAAATGAGCTGGAGGCCACAGAATTTCATAAAAAAACATTTCAATAGCAAGGGTTTGAAAAAGATTTTTCTATTACTTGGCAATAAGCCAAAGAAATTTACTTGTTCTTTATATAGCCAAACTCCACTACCTGCAGGAAGCAGCCCAAAGGGTACTCAAAGGAATGAAATCTGGCAGATGGATGTGTTCTATTTTATAGAATTTGGAAAATTAAAATATACACACCACACCTTTTATACCTATTGAGGATTTCAGTGGGCAACTACTTTGAGTTCTGAAAAGGCTGATTCGGTAATCACACACCTGATAGAAGTTATGGCCATCATGGGACACCTGTACAGATTAAGACTGACAATGCTCTAGCATATGTCTTTAGTAAAATGAAATGGTTTTTGCTTATTACAATATAAAACATATTACAGGTATACCACACAATCCTACAAGGCAAACAGTTATAGAAAGATGAAATCAAGCTCCAAAGGATATACTAAACAAACAGAAAGGGGTAATAAAGGCCCCAAAATAGACTGCATAATGCTTTCTAACTCTGAATTTTCTGAATACTGAAGAGCAAGGAACAAGGGTTGTGGAGAGACATTGGATAATAGAAAAAAAACTACAGAATTAAATCAGCCAGAATACTTTATAAAGATGTGTTGACCTCAGGATAGAAACCAGGATATGTTTCTGGTTAAGCATGGTTGTTTAACCTAAACTTTAAAACTAACAAATGCTTTTTATTTGATCAGATATAATTTGTCATGAGGGAACCTCCCCAAAGTTAGGGTGCAGTAAAGCCTGGCACCTGCTCTTTTTCTTTTCCTGATACGGATTCTTACTGTGTATGCAGTGGTCTTCCTTACTGTGCACCTGGAGTGTTGGCATTACACGCATGAGTCATGCCACACTCTGAAATCTATATTCTTAACATACTTATCAATTTGTCTTAAATGTTTGTTTTTTTCCTGACTTGCTTATCATCAGCTAACGAAGCAGATTCAGTTAGTTTTAATAAGGGCTTTATGTATAAAGTTAGATAACATAAATGGCTTGCAAAAGATAAATAAAAAAGCAGAGGATTGCAAATGAAGGATCAGGCTGGTCCCAGATTTGTCAGATATCAGGACCTTACAGAAGCATAGAAAAAGGCTTTGAGGCATGACAACAGATACCAGATCACTTATTGTCCCAATGTTCCCATCTGTAGACACACAAAGGGTAAAACTTCTGTCTTCATGAATGACCTAAACAGCATCCATTTTCCCTCTGAGTCCTAGATTAGTTCTGGTAAATCAAACTTTGGCAATGTCTGTATTAGAAGCTGTCAAAATACTCTTCCCAACAAGATTAATCATGCTGTAAAACTTGGAAAATACAAGTATAAGCTTTCTGCCAAAAATGGTTTACCCAGAAGGTTCTAGTCATCAAATGACAGCTATTAAGCCCAGTCAAGGAGAAGTGAGGTAGCCTCAGGAAAGCGTGTGTAAGGACGTCCACTTGTGTCCCATCAGTCTGTCCACACACAACATGTACTCATGCAAGAAGTACAAATGCTAAGCAGGGGATCTTAGACTTTATTGGGCATAAACAGTACCTCGGTTTTGTACTAAAACATCCAGTAATTACAGAGAGCATGGCTTAAAGTCTGCATTAAAAAAAAATAGGACTTCTGGTTTATTATCACCCAGGCATCCACGAAAACAACCAAGGAACATCGACTTAGAATATTAAAAGAGAAAATTAGTCACAGAGAAAACAAAGCTGTATATTGGAAATATTTTCAAAGGCCAAAGAAATATGAAAGCTATTATCTAAAAAGAACATTACTTAAAGTCACAATATCATTAATCATGACTTCAAAAAGCAGTTTTCATGAAACTAAATATAAGAGCTTATGAACAAAACATGAGACTGGAAGAATGGGAATTCTGCTTAAACTTTGTATTTCAAAATTTGAAAACATCAGCTCAGAGAGCACAAAGCTGATAAAATAGTGTAAACAGATTTCTGTTAATTTGTTGTCATTGATTCAAAACACTAAAAGAATTAAAATGATTAAATTCCAATTTTTCCTGGGTTGTAAGTTAAAGGAATGCTTAGCAAAATTTCCCTAATAAGTTCTGTATCTAGGGGAAATGGCGTTGTAAACAATAATTTAAGAAAGGAAAATTGTGTTATTTAGGAATACAGAAGTCAGTTACAACATAGGAGGTTCTCTTTTTCTTGAAATTTAGCTATTTCCATGTCCAATTTAAGGTACTGCTCCTGAAATGTTAACACTGTTAATTATCAGATAAAGGCATAAGCACTAACAGTCCAAAGTCTACTCATATAAAGTAGAAGATTTTCCTCAGGATAAAAAAATAGTTACCTAAACAACAGCAATAACAAAACTTGAATATAAGTAACTTCCCTCACTAAAAGCAGTAAGGAATTCAGGAATTTACATACTTCCCTTCTAGACCAGCAGCATGAGTTGAGTTTTTTCTTACATTCCTCCCAAATAATGTCTATAAACTCGGTAAGTGCACAGTAATATGCTTTGGAAAGAGAATATTCCTGGAAATGTTATTGAAAATACAATCAAAGCACAAAGCAGATGACACTGGTCTATAGAAAGTATCATGGAAAGACAGGTTCACAATGAACTGCGAAGGGCAAGATTACTTTCCAAGAAAGCTGACATGTTTCCTGAGTCTTAGTAAGATAGGTCAGGCTAGAAAACAGCATTGGGACCTACTCATGAAGAGGCACAGTTGTCTCTAAGTAAACGACAGATAAAGGGACTTTCTGCAGGGCTGGAACGGGGGACTTTGACGTAATCACGCCTCTGACATCATCTCTTTGAGCTGTAGCAGGAGTGAACAAAAAAACCCTAGAAGGGTCTTTCTTAAAATGGCACAATATTTTCCTTCAGAGATTGTTTGACACCTTAAAATGATCACACATGAAAATAAGGAACAGGAAATAGGCCCTAGCCCACACACCTTTGAAACTACTTTAAAGTTCCAAACCCAGCACACATCAGTTGTAGTAATTAAATATTTTTATTCAGAACCTGTATCTTTGTTTTAGGAGTGGTATAAACAAAATAAAATACGAACAACATATTAACATGATCGCTGCAGTTACACACTGCAAGGACACAGTAGAAAGAGCTCATTCTAAATGTTTATGCTCTGCAATCATCCTAGTTACCTTATGGCAGCAAAGTTTGGCAACAAAATGATAAATTCATTTCTTATTAAAAGTACTTAAAGAATTGCCAAGATTATCAGTTGTGCCATAAATATAACAGCAGTTTATTAAAAAATGATCTTACCTCCCTCTCCTATTCCTAAAAGACCCGCCTAAACAGGAGTCTAGTAATTTCAGGTCAGGTCTTCGAATCAGGTCTTGCCCTGTAAACCCACTCTTCACTTTGTACACGGTAAACACAGACTCATTTCCCTTTCCAGTCTTGACGCTAACACACTTTTGAGAACGACAACCAAGCATCACTTCATCGTGGCTTTTATTTGTCCTCCACCTCATTTTCACTCCCTTCAGCTGTCTGTTCCTCCTCCTCATCGCCAAAAGTCTGTTCTTGCATGGTGGTGAATGACAGAGATCTGGCAGCCACTTCTGCAGCCAGGCCAGCAGTGAAGGTGAACTCTGGTGACAACTGCAGTCGGGCTAGCCTCTGTTTAATGGAGAGCTGTAGTGAGTCCCTGGGAGTTGGAGGGGCAGTAGCCCCAGCAGCAGCAGCAGCAGCAGTGTGAGGAGACTCAGCCTCGCTCTCACACTGGTAGGACATGCTTTCTTCAGTTCCTCGAAGCAGGGCTTCGTTTTCAGAAGCGCCTGTATTTTCATCCTCGGGAGGGCTATCACATACAAACTCAGCGCCTTTATTTTCATCCTTGGGAGGGCTATCACATACAAACCCAGTCCTATTTCTTTCAGTGTCACGTGTAGAGGGCTTATTATTTTCCTCTTCAGTACAATTGCTATCGACTTTTCCTGTATCTGAATTCATGGGTGTTTCTGAATTACTTACAGATTCCACTGGGTCTACAGGAGACAAGGATGTCAACACAGCTTCAAAGAACAAAAAGAGGAAAAGAAAAGAAAAAAACAAAAATAACTAAGGACCCAATGACTTTAAACCTCCAGTAGCTTTTTAAAAAAGGAGCAACAAATAAACAAAAATTCAATAAAGCTTTCTAGTAAAATAAATGTAACTTTATAAAATGGGAATGTTATGACATAAAATGAGACAGGAACTTGCTGAAGAGTCTGAAGTTCAAAGGCAGTGGCTCTCGAAGTATGGTCCTTGAATCAGCAGAACCATCTATCACTTAGGACGCTGTTGAAACAAATTCTAGAGTCTGACCACAGACAGGGAACTGGGGCAGGCATGCTTACAAGCCGCCCACTTGACTCTGATGTACACTAATGCTTGGGGACTACTGCCATTAAAGGAATGCACAGTATGGTTTTCACCACAAAGATAAAAAGTCTAATGTAACCCAGATAACAGCATGTTCATCACATATATTTACACTGGAACATACAATTCAACTTACTTGTCAACAACCTAACAGAACCTGAATGGAAGTAAAGTATTCTACATTTTGTTATGCTACAGAGAACACAAATGAAATAAAATCTGCATTCAAGATCAACTACCAAACAAAGTATAATACATAAATATCACATAGATCCATACAGTAGAATTTGTCCTTGCAAGAAAAATGAAGGTTTAGTTAGCCCCTCTTGGTGTTAGTAGGCAGTGGATTGCTTGCTAGGCAGTCTCTCCTCCCAGCATGAGGATTAGTACAATACAAGACATTATGAAGCATGACAGAAGGAAAAAAGCGTATCTTGAGGATCTGGCGTATATTTAAAAAGCATTTGTGGAAAACGTGTCCATTTCCAAGAAACATCCCTATGCTGCAGTAACTCCACTAGGGAAGCAGCAACAACAGACACATGGCCACAGCAGGTTCCAGTGTAGGCTTTCCCTTTCTAATTCCATTCGGACTTTACCCCTGTAGGCAGAGATGAAAACAACTCTGGAAGACGTACTGACATTTTTATGGGAAAGCATTTTTCTGGCATCAGTAGATCTTTACTTATTTTCACAAACTATATAGCATTGCTGCCTTTTCAAATGCAAAAGGAATCAAAAGCATGTTCCTGAAAATGAGACCCATTACTCTCATTTGCCCACAATGTCAATCGATAGGTAACTTTGCACTGCGTAATAACAAAAGATACAATCTTACAGATAATGCTATCTTCAGCATTTCTGCACACTCTTGTTCATAAATATGCTAGGTCTTCACAAGTGTACCATATTACAAGTCATGATCATTGCTAACTGAATGAGGGAGCGGAATATGTAGAGGGAAGGGTCAGCCGACGACAATGTTAGGATGGAAGTCTCTAGGGCAGTGTTAGGATGGAAGTCTTTAGGGAAGCAGATAGTTTTTGTTTGTTGATCTGTGTGCTACATGCAGGAGTCATTAGTGTCAGGTGTCTGACTGGTACTCGATAACTACTTGCTGAGTCAAAATTTGCTGAATGAATACTGTTGGAGGATAAAAGCTAGAAAAAAGGACAGAAATTTAGAGACTAAAAGCCCTGAATGCAGAAACTGTTCATGTAAAAAAGATAATCACCAATCTCTAATCCATAAACACGCTGATTACGGAATTCTTGTGCTGCTTCTGGGAAGGCACCATTTCTTTGCTCTGCTGTTCAAGCCTTCCTTTATATCCCAGCTACATGTCTCTCTAATGGGAAAGTGGACAGTGGCAGGAGAGGTGGGTGGTTGAGGAGTCACAGAGGAGACACTGGTAGAGATGACAGAGTTCTTGGTCAGAGCCCAGCATACATTTTCCTCATGAATATAAACAGTAGGTCTGTGGGACTAATCTAACTAGATAAATGTAAGTTGAGAAAGATACCTTTATTAGAAATACTGGGAAATACAAAGTGGACACAATAGATTCCGATGCTGGAAAGGCTAATGTAATAAGAAAGGTGGAACCCCTGTAGCTTAAGACAGAATGAATGAGCTGTTCGAGTTTGAACAAAGTCTGAGATATGTTACAAGATAGCTTAGAGGAGAAAAGGTACTGAAGTGGAAGTCGTCTAAGGGGCTATTCTAATAGACAAACATAATCTAGTGGGGATCTAGGTTCTAAAGGGAGCCAATGGAACAGCAAAGAAAGATGAAACCAACAAATAAAGATTGGGATGGTGAGAAAGGTGAGGCTTCATAAGAGAGAACAGGAGAACCCTAAGGAACTTTCCAACTAGATGACCTATATACTTCTAGTAAGAAAGGGAAAGGCAGGCAACTGTGTTTGAGGGTCCATAAAGACACTCTAAAATGGATGGAAGGCCCATTCTACCTTCTTATAAGTTCACAGGAATTAATTCAACTGAGAATGAACTAAGTTGACTTTCCAATATCAAGTCTCTCTTCATTCCTTCTTTGGCCTCCCTTAAAGCATGACTGAAGAAAAAAGTGAGAGTAACATAAAGAAGTTTAAGGCTAGCCAACACCACCCAAACTTGATTATGGAGTCACCCCAGCTTCCATCTACTTCACTAATGTAAATGAAGTGGCCAAGTGGCCTCATCTTTATGCATTTTCAGCATTAAACAGTTACTAATGGTGAGTTTTAATGAAGCACTTTAAACAGAGAACACTGCTTATCATCTCAAATTCATTACTTCCTTTTGTCTGTCCCCCAAAAGGGGCTTGCTATGTAGGTCTAGGCAGGACAAACTTGCAGCCACAGCTGGTCTCAAACTCATGATCTTCCTTGCTGGAATTACAGCGACACCAAAGCCAGCTCAATATATTTAACTTAATGCCCACTCTGAAAGAAAGCCACCAAATAACTAGGTAACTGATGAAAAAGCGTGACTTCACAGTCTTGGTGTGACTACACAGCGTTCTTCTCTTGATCAGATTGATTTGGCTTCTACATGAGAGTACTACACTAACTGGAGGACCCAGAGTTCTACCCTTCAGACAGCACTCATGGTTCAAACAGAAAAGACTCCTGCCACTGAAACAACCTGGACTGCAGTCTGTGCTTACCGTGGTCACTGAACAGAAGTTGCTTCCATTTTTGCCTTTCTGCCTCCGAAGCTTTCATTCCCAGCACAGACTTTAACTCCTGCAGCACCCTCCTGGATTCCTCCTGCTCCCGCTTCTGTCTCTCTTTGTCTTCTTGAGACAAGTGATATAAATCATCCTTTCGGAATTCACTTTCTATGTCTATGTCATCCACATACGCTTCTAATTCCTGAAAATGGACCAAAGACAAAGAACTTGCAGCAGACAGTCTCTAACAATGTTCACTACCTGCAGCTCTGCACCCTGGAGGACTTTCTCTTGGGGCAGTCATTATGGGAATTAGGAGAAAGGCAACAGATGCATCTACTGCTAAATTAAAATCTTCAAAAAGCTTAACAGTGGATACTAAAAAGTTCTAGATGACAAAGTCTAATGCTGTCATTGGCTATTTTCTACTCTAAGTCAATGAATCAAATTCAAGGCACTAAGAGCTGAATATTTTGATATAAATTCATATTACACTGTAGTCTTAACCTAATTAGAAGCAGAAATCCAACAATTTATCTGACAGTACCCATGTCACTTAAGATAAAGTAGGCAAATTGTATGAACCTAGTCTTCAGGGAAACCAGCACCTTTCACCCTTACCTGCTCCTCAGGGATAGGGTCTCTGTCTTCAATGTGCAGAGTAGGGCGCATCAAGGGTGCCGCAGTGCAGTGTGGGTTTTCACACACTACTTCAGGCTTGCCTTTAAAAAGGGGTTGGGGGGGTGGCGGCAGAATAAAGATGAGCAACAGGCCATCAGAACAACAGGAGTGAACATCAAATGATATGACATTCTTGGCACCGACACCTTGCTAATTTCATAGTCCAACTTTCTATTTTTCCCTGATTTTCTTGTTTTGAGGCAGGCTCTTCATAGGAGCCCAGGTTAGTCTTAAACTAATGATATTCCTTTCTTAAGTTCATGAGTGTTAGAATTTTGATGCGTACTACCATACGTAAATTGTTCTGGCTAAAATGTCTTAGTTGTGAAAATTAGAGACACCAAAGTTTATAGTAATAGAAGTATATGTACCACTTGGCTTTAAGTTAAACTCTTGGGGCCATAGTGTCTGCCACATGCTAGATGACATACAAATACGTCACTCTCACAAAATATTTTGTTCATAGTGTTGGCATGATGTTAAAACAGATCATTACTCTTTCACATAAAAAAATGAAGATTACAGGGCATGGTGGTATACACCTTTTATCTCAGTACTAGAGAGGCAGAGGCAGGCGACTCTCCAAGTTTGAGCTAGCCTGGTCTACAGAGTGAGTTTCAGGACAGTCAGGGTTACAGAGAAACTCTTTGTCTCAAAAAACAAACAAAAAATAATAAAAGAAGTCAAAGATCAATCTTACATTATTTTTATTTTCCCATTTTAACTCAGAATTGGAAATGAGTTCCACAAGTAAATATTTTCACCTGCTCACGCAGCTGAGTTTACCCTTAATGAATTGAATTTAAAATTGGTATTTAATCACACGATTATACGTGTATATATGTAATCATAAATATAGTTATATTATATATATATATAATCATAATTTTCATCATTGTCTATACTTAAGAGGCATATGCCTATAAAACCAGAGGTGGAGGCAGAAGGATTGGGAGTTCAGAGTCATTTTCAGCCTCATAGTGAATTCAAGGATAGCCTGGGGTACAAGAGATCCTGCTTCAAACCACATCAGCTATAGCACCAGTCTTTTTACTTTTTGAGACAAAGTCTCCCTATGTAGTCCTGGCTGTCCTGGAGCTTACTATGTAGACCAGGCTGGCCTCAAACTCAGTGATCCTCCTGGCTCTGCCTCCCGAGTGTTTGGGATTAAAACTGTGGGCCAACACATCTGGCTTAAATCAGTTCTTTTTATCACTAGACCTGTAAGAGTTCTGATAGTAGAAATACTATCAACATTTCCCCCTTCATTTCTGTTTTTATAAAAGGATATGTGATACCCTGAACATTTAAATCACTATGTATTTTATATTAAAATAGGAGTCAAGTCTTTGAATTAATTCTCTCTCTATATATATATATATGTATATATATTTAATTATCTCTATGTTTTCTTTTGATTAAGTGAAGAACTTTTATTTTGTTTTTCAAGACAGGGTTTCTCTGTGTAACAGCTCTAGCTGTCGTAGAACTAGTTCCGTAGACCATAGAGATCCATCTGTCTCCTGAGAGCTGTGATTAAAGGTGTGCCCCACCACTGACCTGCCAAGAACTTTTATGAAACCAGTTTACTCATGTCAACAGGCAGGCCATAGACTAGAACCCCAGCAGAATGGAGTGGATGTATTTGACAAGCAGCTGCTGAAAATAATCCACAGGTACCTTTTAAAATTTAAGTTAGAAACAATCTTACTTTACATATCAGTCCCAGTTTCCTCTCTCTCCTGTCCTCCCATGCCCCCACCATCTCCCCCCCCATCCACTCCTCTCATGGGGGATCAAAGGCTGTCGCATCATATGGGGCAGGACCGACAGGTACCTTTTTTACCTGTATTCCTCCGCAGCAGTTTGTCCACTTGAGAAATGGCTTCTTCCCAGCAACTGTTGCTAGCCTGCACATGCGGCTCAATCAGTTTCAGCTTCTGTTCTAGTATCGGGTAAGCCTCTGATAGCAGTTCCTGTGTTTCTTTAGTGCAAACAAGCTTTTCAAGTTCATCTTCAAGAATTATTACTCTGGGCAACACAGAAAAACAGAAATAGATTTTTAAAATATGAAATGGAAAATTTATCATTTTAAGAGGATTATTTTAAGAAATTAAACCTATAAATTAAAAAACAATTCAAGCCAGGAGGTGGTGGCACATGCCTAATCCCAGGCCTGGGGAGGCAGAGGCAGGTGAATCTCTGTGAGTTCCAGGACAGCAGAGCTACACAGAGAAACCTTGTCTCTAAAAAAAAAAAAAAAAGAGACAAATGGTGGTAAGAGTTGTTCAACAATGTGTATGTATTTGCTACCACTGAATAGTACGCTTATAAATGATTGAGTGAGGCTGGAGATGTAGCTCAGTGATAGAGTACTTGGTTAGGAACCTAAAAAAACCCCTCAGAAACAAATGAAAATTTATAAGGAGTATTATGTAATATATTCAGCAAGTGTTTCTTACATACACATTAGACAATTTCTGATTTAAAAGAATACATTAAGCCCATCTCCTACTTTTAAGAAATTAACCAGGAAAATTATACACACATACATATATATGTTGACATTATACATATATACATTATATAAAATATATATAAGTATATTTAAAAAAATGATCTGTAGATTATTTGGTGCCTACAGAGTCAGAGGAGGATGCTGGATCTCCTTGGAGTTCAGGATGAAAATTTCTCTCATAACTTACATTCATGGGGCTGGAGTTAGCGTACTGGAGTGTGTACCCATTTGGGGTCATGCACAACCATTTGTAACTTCAGCCCTAGAGTATCTAACACCATCTTCTGGCCTCTGCTGGCACCTGCATGTAAGTGCACAGACACATGCATAAAAAATAAGTCTTTTTTGGGGGGGTTTCGAGGCAGGGTTTCTCTGTGGCTTTGGAGGTTGTCCTGCATGTAGACCAGGCTGGTCTCAAATGCACAGAGGTCAGCCTGCCTATGCCTCCCAAGCGCTGGGATTAAAGGTGTGCGCCACCAACGCTGGCTAAATAATAAATCTTTGAACACATACATGCACACACACACACACACACACACACACACTCTCACACTCTTATTCTGTCAGTTCTGTTGTTCTAGAGAACCATTTCTAATACACTTGGATAATCCAACCTTTGCTCCCACACATGTGGACATGGCCTTACTGTCCAGGTTACCATCTTAGAGTAATACCTCCAATGCCCACCTGAGTTTACATTTCTGGTTTTGTTTATCTCATCTTCCTTCATCCTACTTCAGTTAGCCTTTTTAGTTTATTGAGCAGTCTAGGCCTTTGGGCCCACTTCCTTATCTCACATCTGATTTATGCATTTCCCCTTCCACTCCTTGACTGACATCCTGGGTCACATACATAAGTCTATCAGCTGCAATAGTATCACTTCAGTAAATCCCAGGGAGCTCCCTGATTGCCAGTACAACTTATCCACCTATTTGCTGCCATATACTGTGAATATTTCACATTTGTTATAAAAATTCATTGGGAATAACTATATTCAGGTGTACTTTGATTCAATTCTTTCTTCTCTTTTTGGAGACAGGGTCTCTCTATACATAGAGCTCTAGCTCTTCTGCAACTCGCTCTGTAGATCAGGCTGGCCTCGAACTCACACAGATCCACATGCCCCTGCCTCCAGAGTGCTGGGATTAAAGGCATTCAGCACTAAACCTGGTTTATTTAATTTTTAAAATGTGAAAATTTCCATTTAGAAATAGATGAGAAAAATATTTGCAGCTATTAAAAACACACGAAAGCTAACTATGAACATTTGGAAACTACAGCTGAATGTCAATATTATGCAAAGTAGAAGGCGAATAAATACAAAACTGTGCACACCATCCTTTACTGAGGCCACAGAGTTTGTTCTGTGCTCTAGAAGTATTTCCAAAGCTGCTGTGATGTGTTTAGACAGTAGCAAAGCATTACACTCCAGCTATATACAGGGTATATATACTCTTGTATCTACTTCTTGCAGACCATGGGTTCTGGTTTAAAGTCCTACCTTAAGAGGGCTAAAAAGATGCTTATTTTTGACAATTCTCTCCATTTTACCTCCCAAAGACAAGAAGAATCTGCCTTCTACTGAAACCAGAAAAAGAAAAAACTACAAATGATTCTCTTAAACCACAGTGCTTATACACCATTATTTCCCTGATACCTCATCCCCACAGACCATCCTTCATGCTCCGTTTTGTTTCCTCTATCTAGTGAGGGCACCAGAAACAGTAAACATGGAATGAAGACGACATTTGTTTATCCCTGCGATGCTTCCTCACGCAGCTTCTAAACTTACTCATTCAGCAGGGCCTTCAGGTGGAGCTGTAAGCTGCGCACTGCTGTGTGAACATTATTCAGTTCTCTTGACTTCTGCTGAGTTTTGGATAAACGCTGGGGTACCGACTGGTGCTGAGTTTCAAAGTACCGAAAGAACTCGTAGCTGCGCTTCAGTTCTTCCAAGCAGGCAGAATGAGCATGAGGTAGACCTTGAGTCACATCAGACAGGATTCGGTGAGGCAAGAGAGCCTCAGTAACTAAGGGCCCCGAAGGCAAATTAGACGTAGAAAGTAACAGGGCTAAACGCCTGAAGAACTCTGAACTCTGTGCCACCCAGAGTTGGAACAAAACCTGAGAAAGAGAGAGAGAGAAGGGGGTGGGGGAAGGAGAGAAAGAACATACTGATCAATACAAATATTGTCAGTATTCAAACTACAAATTTTTTTAACTTCCAACTTTAACTTTTCATGTAGCCACAGCTACATTATCCTAAATAATGACTAAACTGAACTTGAACATACTCTAGGATTAGCCAAGGACACTATTGAATTATGTAGTCGTAACACGTGAGGATTTAGGGTTCTAATACAGAATCAACACCTATATGTAATTCAGCAGTTCTACCCTAGATAGAAATGATCTGAGAATGGATGGAGGGCTGGAGAGATGGCTCAGTGCTCTTGCAGAGGGCCTGGATGTGATTCCCACCACCCACATGATGACTCACAAATGCCTGTAACTGCAGCTCCTGAGGAATGTGAAACCTTTGACTCTGTGTGGCATACACAGACATGTCTAATTAAAAATAACAAAGTGAAGCTGGCTATGGTGGCACATGCCTATAACCTCAGCACTTGGGAGACAGAGGCAGGCAGATCTGTTGAGTTTGAGGTCAGCCTGGTTTACACAGTGAATTTCAGGACAGTCAGGGATATACACAAAGAGACCCCGCCTCAAAAATTTATTAGAAATGAATGTTCCTTAAAAAAAAATTCAGGCTGGAGAGATGGCTTAGCAGGTAAAGCTACTATGAAGCCTGACCATTTGAGTTCTGTTTCCAATACACGGTGCAAGGAGAGGACTCCTACAAGATGTCCTCTGACCTCCACAGGAATGCTGTGGTATGTGTGCACCCACACACATATATCAAGAGTATGAGGCTGAAGAGATAACTGAAGAGCTCAGCAGTTAACAGCATTTGTTGCTCCTGCAGAGCACCAGGTTGGGTTCTATTTCCAGCACCCAGATGGCAGGCAGCTCATAACCATCTGTAATTCCAGTTCCAGCGGTCATGGGAAAGAAGCACTGCACACATGTGGTGCGTAGATATATGTGCAGGGAAAACATCCATACAGATCAAACAAACAAACAAACAAACAAACAAACAAACAAACAAACAAACAGGGATTTGGGGTTCAAGCCACCTGTGGTAGTTCACACCTTTAATGCCACTCAGGAGGCAGAGGCAAACAGATCTCTGCAAGTTCTAGGTCACTGAAGGCTACACAGTGAGATCTTCCTCAAGAATGAAAAGAAAAACAAATCAGGATTCAAAATGCTACTTTTTTTCTAAGAATAGCATGTCTGGAATGAAAACTGCAAACCTATTTTTTAAAAATTAACTTCAAAAATATTCTGTGTGTCCAATGTGTGACTATGTGCACATGAAAGTGTAAGTGGCTACAGAGTCCAAAGGAGGGTGTCAGACCCCTTGGGTAAGAGCCACAGGTGGCTGTGAGCCGCCTAACATAGGTATTGGGAACTGAACTTGGTCCTCAGCAAGAACATTATGTGCTCTTAACTCCGAGCCATCTGTCCAATATCTGTCCAATCTCTGTAAACTTATGCTTGAGAGACATAGCAGAAAGCAGACAACTAGGGATCTCTCCAGACAATAATCCTAACACAGGGACAACAGCCCCAAAGAAAACACATAAGGAAGTACTATAGCACCAAGAATAAGTGACAGACAACAGATCAAACTACTTCAGATAACTTAGATTCCAATTATCCACAACCTTGGAAATAGACACTCTTGAGATGACTTTGTTAAATGAATTTCAAAATTATGTAAATGGTGATACAATTCTACTTTTACGTATGTATATATGAGGGCATGCACATACATGAAGAAGACAGGGAAGAAAGCAAGAGATGGGAAGAACAGGAAGGTCTCTAAACACTTGGGAGGTGGAGACAGGAGCTTAGTACAGTCTGAGCAGCAGTCAGAGGATGCAGTCTGAGGATGCAGTCTGGGGATGCAGTCTGAGGATGCAGTCTGGGGATGCAGTCTGAGGATGCAGTCTGGGGATGCAGTCTGGGGATGTAGTCTGAGATGCAGTCTAAGCATGCAGTCTGAGGACAGGATCTCCCCTTTGGTCTGAGCATTGGTAGAGGTAAGAACTCTAGTGACTAGCTGCTGTTTCTCTGATCCTCAGCTTTCACCCCCTGACAGCTGACTATGAGTTTTTATTATTAAGAACAATTAGAACAAATGATCATGGGCTGCCCAGTCCCAGCTGATACATCTGTAACACAACTCCTGCAACTAAGGTTCAGACAACATCACTGAAGAGGGGCAGAAAGCTCCTAAGAGCGAGAATCCCAGGAATGCTGCTGTGACATTATGTTTCCTAGAAGTGACAGGGACGTGTTCACCCATGATACCTCAGCAACATGGCTGCATACATAAGCCCTGATGAAGCAAACAACACACATACACACACACATACACATACACACACACACACACACACACACACACACACACACACACACACACACAAAATACGGGAGCATACATTAGAATAACAAGTAAGGCAAAAGAGACCACAAGACAGAGCAAGGGGAGGTGTTGGAAAGGAAGAAAGTGAAGGGAGAAATGATATAATTACATAAGTAGCAAAATCAGTGAGACATCTTGATGACTTAACAAAAATAATTTACAGAGATGTAGAAATATCAAAATTGCTTCTCTGAGTTCTTCTTAAATAACAGTAAAGGGGCAAAGTAAAGGATGGTGAGATGGCTCAGTGGTTAATAACACTTGCTGCTCTTGAAGAGGGTATGGTTTTATTTCCAGTACCACATGTGAGCCACCATGTGGTGTTGGAAATCAAAGTTAAGTCAGGTTCTGGGGGATCCAACAACCTCTTCTGACTTCTGTGAACATATACGTGGTGCATAGATATACATGCAGGAAAACATTCATATACATAAAATAAATTTAAAAAGAAAGGAAAACTATAGGCTGTGGACTTTAAAATAAACAGCTATATAACAAACAAAATGCAGTGACCTTTTTAAAGGACTGTTTTAGGCATTTTGCAAGTCATCTCATTTAATCTAACACCTTAAAAAGCAGTTGTGGTAACCCTTTTTAAAGATGAGGTGTTTAAAGAATAGTTTAACTGTGGTAGGTTTATTCCCATTTTTCTGAGGAATCTCCATACTGATTTCCAAAGTGGCTGAACCAGTTGTCATTCCCACCAGCAATGGAGGAGTGTCCCCCTTTCACCACATCCTCTCCAGCATAAATTGTCATTGGTGTTTTTGATTTTAGCCATTCTGACAGGAGTGAGATGGTATCTCAGAGTTGTTTTGATTTGCATTTCCCGGATGGCTAAGGATGTTGAGCACTTTCTCAAGTGCCTCTCAGCCATTTTAGACTCCTCTATTGAAAACTCTCTATTTAGTTCTGCAGCCCACTTTTTAATTGGGTCCTTTGATGTTTTGGAGACTTGCTTCTTGAGTTCTTTGTAAATTTTGGAGATCAACCCTCTGTCAGATGTGGGATTAGTGAATATTTTTTCCCATTCTGTGGGCTGCCTTTTTGTCTTGCTGACTGTGTCCTTTGCCTTACAGAAGCTTCTCAGTTTCAGTAGGTCCCATTTATTAATTGTTGATCTCACTGTCTGTGCTACTGGTGTTATGTTCAGGAAGCTGTCTCCTGTACCAATTCGTTCAAGGGTACCGCCCACTTTCTCTTCTAAGAGATTCAGTGTGGCTGGATTTATGTTGAGGTCTTTGATCCATCTGGACTTAAGTTTTGTGCATGGCGATAAACATGGATCGATCCGCATTCTTCTACATGCCAGTCTCCAGTTATGCCAGCACCATTTGTTGAAGATGCTTTCTTTATTCCATTGTATATTTTTAGCTTCTGTGTCAAAGATCAGATGTTCGTACGTGTGTGGGTTAATACCCGGGTTTTCAATTCGATTCCATTGGTCTACCTGTCTATTTTTGTGCCAATACCAAGCTGTTTTCAGGACTATAGCTCTATAATAGAGCTTGAGGTCAGGGATGGTGATGCCTCCGGACGTTGCCTTGTTGAACAGGGTTGTTTTGGCTATCCTGGGTCTTTTGTTTTTCCATACAAAATTGATTATTGTTCTTTCAAGGTCTGTGAAGAATTGTGCTGGGATTTTAATGGGGATTGCATTGAATCTGTAGATTGCTTTTGGCAGGATTGCCATTTTTACTACATTGATCCTACCTATCCAAGAGCATGGGAGATCTTTCCATTTTCTGAGGGCTTCTTTAATTTCTTTCTTTAAAGATTCAAAGTTCTTACGATACAGGTCTTTCACTTGTTTGGTTAGCGTTACCCCAAGGTATTTTATGTTGTTTGTGGCAATTGTAAAGGGTGATGTTTCTCTGATTTCTTTTTCAGCCCTTTTATCATCTGTATATAGTAGGGCTACTGATTTTCTTGACCCAGCAACTCCACTCTTAGGCATATATCCAAAAGATGCCCATTCATACAACAAAGATGTCTGTTCCACTATGTTCATAGCAGCTTTATTTGTAATAGCCAGAACTTGGAAGCAACCTAAATGTCCCTCACTCGAAGAGTGGATAGAGAAAATGTGGTACATTTACACAATGGAGTACTATTCAGCAGAAAAAAATAATGGAATCATGAGATTCGCAGGCAAATGGATGACACTAGAAGAAACCATCCTGAGTGAGGTAACCCAGTCACAAAAAGAGAAACATGGCATGTACTCTCTCATATATGGATTTTAGACATAGATCTGGGGAGTACCAGCCTACAATCCTATGGCCAGAGAGTCTGGGAAACAGAAACTTCATTTAGTGGCTGATCGAAGAAGAGGCAGACTCCCTTGGTTAAGTAGTGAGCTGAACTCAAGAAAGCCAGTAACAGAGAGGGAGGACTGATGATCAAAGGGATTAAGACTGGGCTGGTTTAACCCCCAGAAACACCTGACCAGACAAAGGTTAACTCTTGAATCCCAGGCATCAGCCTGGGAAGCCAGCATGGGACTGATCAAGACCCCCTGAATCTGAGTGTCAGTGAGGAGGCCTAGGTAATCTATTGAGCCTTGGGCAGCAGATCAGTACCCATCCCAAGTATACACACGGACTTTGGACTCCCATAGAACAATGTGAGGTGCACTCTCACCCTGAACTCTTGGGGAAGGGTCTAGGCCCTGCCCTATATGAAATGACAGACTATGGACACCCCCATGGAGGGCCTCACCCTCCCTGGGGGAATGAGGGGATAATGGGGGGGGTTAGGGGAGGGCACGGGAGGAGGGGAAGGAATGGGAGAGGGACCTGGAACTGTCTTGTGAAGCAACCTCGTTTCTTATCCAAATTTAAACTGGAAAATAAAAAAAAAGAAATGGAAGAAAATATTAACAAAAATTAAAGAAATGGAGGAGAAGACAAATGAAAAATTGCAAAAAAAATCAAGCAGTGCATGGTTTGAAAGCTGGAATAGAAACAATAAGAAAACATAGTCTGAGGAAATTCTGGAAATAGAAAAGCTGGGTAAATGATCAGAAACTACATATACAATCATAGGCAACAGAATACAAGAGATGGAAGAGAGAATGCCAGGAATTGAAGATACACTAGGAGAAATAGATTCTTCAACCAAAGAAAATCTTAAGTCCAACAAATTCCTAACACAAAATATCCAGGTAGTATGGGACACCGTGAAAAGACCAAACCTAAGAATAGTAGGTACAGAAGAAGATAAAGAAAGCCACCTCAAAGGTGCAGAAAACATACTCAACAAACTCATAGAAGAAAACTTTCCCAACCTGAAGAAAGACATGCCAATGAAAGCCTGCATGGTACTGACCTAGGCACTCTGCATTATATGTGACAGTTGGTCTTATTGTGGGACTCCTAACAGTGGGAGCAAGGACTTTTTCTGACTCTTTTACTGGCTTTTGGGCCCCTACCATACTGGGTCACCTTGCCCAGCCTCAATACATGGGGAGGTGCTTAGTCTTACTGCAACTTGATATGACATGGTTTGTTGATACTCATGGGAGACCTGCTCTTTGCTAAACAGAAACAGAGGGGGGAATGGGTATGGGGGGGTGAGAACAGAGGAGGGGAGTGAGGGAGGTGAAACTGTGACTGAGATGTAAAATACATAAATAAACACAATTATTTAAAAAAAAAAAGCAAGAAAGAAAGTCTAGGAAGTCTGTCCTGGTCCCAAGTGAAAAATCATTCAGAGAAGAATGACGGTAAGAAATACCTAAAGTCGAGCCGGGCGGTGGTGGCACACGCCTTTAATCCCAGCACTCAGGAGGCAGAGGCAGGTGGATCTCTGTGAGTTCGAGGCCAGGCTAGACCGACAGCCTCCAAAACAATACAGAGAAACCCTGTCTTGTAAAAGCAAAAATAAAAAAAAAAAGAAAGAAATACCTGAAGTCTTTGTTTTCTGTAATTACCATCATTCTTTAAACATGCATATATCAAAATAGTATAACTTTGGATTATTATAGTCAGATGTTTGGCCTTAAAAATTGCTGGTGACTTTTATAAAGAAGAAGAGGCAGACTCCCTTGGTTAAGTACTGAGCTGAACTCAAGAAAGCCAGTAACAGAGAGGGAGGACTGATGATCAAAGGGATTAAAACTGGGCTGGTTTAACCCCCAGAAACAGCTGACCAGACAAAGGTTAACTCTTGAATCCCAGGCATCAGCCTGGGAAGCCAGCATGGGACTGATCAAGACCCCCCTGAATCTGGGTATCAGTGAAGAGGCCTAGGTAATCTATTGAGCCTTGGGCAGCAGATCAGTACCCATCCCAAGTATACACACGGACTTTGGACTCCCATAGAACAATGTGAGGTGCACTCTCACCCTGAACTCTTGGGGAAGGGTCTAGGCCCTGCCCTATATGAAATGACAGACTATGGACACCCCCATGGAGGGCCTCACCCTCCCTGGGGGAATGAGGGGATAACGGGGGGGGGGTTGGGGGGAGGGCACGGGAGGAGGGGAAGGAAAGGGAGAGGGACCTGGAACTGACTTGTGAAGCAACCTCGTTTCTTATCTAAATTTAAACTGGAAAATAAAATAAAAAAAATTTCAAAAAAAAAAAAGAATAGTTTAACTGAGGCCAATTAGGGGTCAGGGGTAAAATATAAATTTACCACTGCCAAATTACAAATCTCCCAAGTTATCCTTTCGAGAAGACTATTCTATTATAGAGTAAAACATGATCATGAGAACTACCTTGGGAATAAAAGAAGCTGCTTAAAGTTCCCTCACCCCCTGAGCACTAATGGTTTTCTCCCTTATAACACAGAGTTCCCGTCACCCTGCCTATCACCTGAATAGTGCAGAGGAAGCAGACCTTGTTCCAAAGTCTATACAAGCAAGTTACAGCTGCTGTACGAAGGTGTCCTGTGCAGACCTACCATAACCTATGCAGCCGTGCTTCTACTGTATCATAGCTCCCACCTCCAAAAAGCTGCATTTCCCAGGCAGGCGCTTAGTGTCCATCCCTACACAAAGCTACTAAGGAACTTACTGGCACATGGGCTTGATATATTTAGAATAATCACTTTAAGAAAGATTTGTGGAATTAGAATAGCTAGTTCAAAGCATAAATCTCTTGTAAACAGCTCTGATATGGATCAAGTTACATTGTTAGACAAATAACTTAGGAAAATATAAGACATCAGAGAGAAAACTGTTGCAGTGGCCCTCATAAGATGCTAAGCGGGTGTAGTGGTGTGTGCTAGTAACCCAGCTACTAAGAGTCGAGGTGGGACTGCAAGTCCACGGCTAGTCTGGGCAGCAGAGCCAGACCTGTCAGAGAGAAGGAGAGACATAGCAGAGAACGCAGAGGGAGGAAGAGAGAAAGGGAGACAGAGAGAAGAGACAGTATGATGATAATGACAGCGGCTAAGGTGAGTACGGGCTAAGAGGAGGATAAACATGGTACTCCATTTCCTAGAAGCAGAGGATACACACAGACTAGAAAGGTAAAAGTTACACACCTCAGCACACAATGTATATTGATAAGTGCTGCCAACTACATACTAAACTTACTTGCATGGTTGTCAAGGAAGTTTCAAAAAAGAGAAACAAAGAAATATTTACATAGAGCTTGATAACTAAAGGCATTTGGACTGACTTCTTAAGAACTCCCTGGAAACTGATTGAACATACGCTTTTGTTGTTTTGTTTTTTTGGAACAGGGTTACGCTCTGTATGTAATCCACGCGGCTTTCAACTGTGATCCTCCTGTATTAACCTCCTGATGGCTGTGACGATAGTTGTGTACATGGTTTTTATAACTCACCTTAAGCTATTTTCCCACTTTGTTTTCTTTAACATGTTTCTATGACCATAGCCAGGGCAGTGGTGGCAGAGGAAGGCAGATCTCTGAGTTTCAGGACAGCCAGGGCTACATGGCAGAAAAGCCTTGTTTCAGTATATATATTCCCCTCCCCACACAGACATTTTCAGTGTAAGTCACTACTGATACCACAGGGCATACTTTCGATGTATTGGAATATATCCCCAGATGAGTTAGTGAGGGTGAAATTGCTAAGATAAAGGCCATACAACTTTGTGAAGACGTGTTCACTAGTGAAGCTTATACTGTCAACACCTGTACATGAGCTCTCCCTGGATCCTCATTCATAATGATTACTATTAACTTCTAATATTCTTTGTTTTTTATTTTTATTTGTTTGGTTTTTCGAGACAAGGTTTCTCTGTGGCTTTGGAGGCTGTCTTGGAACTAGTTCTTGTAGACCAGGCTAGTCTCGAACTCACAGAGATCCGCCTGCCTCTGCCTCCCGAGTGCTGGGATTAAAGGCATGTGCCACCACCACCTGGTTCCTTTCTTTAAAAAAATTTTTTATGTGCATTGGTGTTTGACCTGTATGTATGTCTGTGTGAACATGTTGGATCCCTTGGAACTGGAGTCACAGACAGTTATGAGCTGCCATATGGCTGCTGCGAATTGGATCCAGGTCCTCTGGAAGATCAGCTAGTGCTCTTAACCACTGGGCTCTCTCCAACCCCAACTTAGTATTTCTATTTGTATTTCTTTTAATAATATGATTAAAAGTTCTACTTTATTGAATGCGTCTGTATTTCTGTTCTGTGAATGACCAGTTCATTCATCTTTCCTAGCTTCTGTATGCTCTATTTTTTTGTTTGCTTGACTGTATTTGTAGTCCTGGGGATGGAACCAAGGCCCTCATGCATGTTAGGCAAACCACTTAGCTAACCTCCTATCCTTTTAAGTTTTAGCTACCTCACTACTCTTTATACAGAAATAAGTCAAATTGTCATAATAGTTTTACTTCATTGTACTTCAGGTATGTAGTATTTAAAGTTTGAAATTTCATTTATCTATTGTCAATTATACTTTTTCATAATGAGGCTGTTTATAGTGAAAAAGTATTTCTTAAGGTATAAAGAAAAAATTGGGGGGTTTATAAAGGGACACACACAGACACACAGACACACAGACATACACACACACACATACACACACACACACTGATTTGCCCAGGCTTGTTGAACTCATGTGGGCTTCCTATCAAGTAATTCACTTATTTCTAAACATACTCTATGGAATTCTTAAATTAAGAGCACTGATAACAAAATACAAAAATGCCTTCATTTGATTTGTATGATCTCTCAGTTCTTAAAGGCAGTGTCATAACATCTAAAACACCGGAAACAGCAGCATCTAGGAACACAGAGGGGAAACAGGACATGCGTACTCCTCAGTCCTTCCTTCTAAATAGGTTACCTTCAAGGCAGGCAGGCTGAAGCCATCTGTCAAGTGATGAGCTTCCTCTTCTGATATCTGTTCTTCACTGAGGCCAAGCCCCAGTTCCTTAAAAGGTACCACACAGATGTAGTTGGTAACATTGTCACTCTCAGAGTTCAGGGGGTAGGTTAAATTAGGTTAAGGCAATCAACAACACCTCTTCATTAACACATTTAAGATAGCCAAACATATCCAAAACTATATTTACTATATAATAATAGTATAGCTAGTGACCAGCACATTGCCTAGCACTGTGCTTATATGTTCAAGAAATACTCACACTGTCTCACCTAACATAGCTAAGTTATTTGACCTCTTTCTTTGGAACAGTGAAGAGATTTTTTTCTCTTGTTGTCATAACCCATATCAGAATTTCTTCCTGTCTGTCACTGTTATTCCCCCTACAATGCACTTTCAGTTTTGAAACAGAAGTGAAGAGAGAAATTAGATTTGAAATAGGCAATCTCAATTTACAGTTCAGGTCTCAGGATACAACTATAACATCTAATTCAGGGCTTTGGAAACATTGCTAGCTTCACATAGAGACAGAAAAGGATATTTTTTTAGCATGTACAGGGTAGCTAGCCTTGCAGCTTGAAAGTTGGCTCTTGCAGTTCTGTAGACAGCTTTCCGAAGGCCCAGGAGATGCTGGCTTGGATGCTGTCCAGCTTTATTAAATGAGCAAGCAGCACTGACCCTGTCAAGCAAACTTGAAAAGTAAAATGTGATACAACTGTACAGGTGTCCTAAAGTTTGTGTTTCCTAAATCCACAATTCTATTAAACTTAGAAAAAATTCTTTCTTAAAATTACAGGTATTTTAAATCAAGTGTTGTCTCCTATTTCTTGATATACACAAAGCCACTAAAATACATAAACAAAACAAAAATACAACTGAAAAACTCACAGAATATTTAGTCAAATATAGAGAATGTGAATTTTAATTGAGATAGAATAGATGGGGACTATTTCAGTAAGAATTTATGGCTTTCTACATGAAGATATCCTACCTGATAAAATACACTACAGTAGAAGTACGTTACAGGTTTCAAAACCAGTATCTACAGGATATATGAAGGGCTTAATTATCAACACTTTCTCATGCTTAATATGTATTTACATTTTGTCCACCAATGACTTCTTTGTTCACATGTACAGAGCAATGAACTACTATATATAAATATATTCTGTACATTCATAAAAGTAGGGCAAAATTACTTACCCACCTGCTGCCACTGGCACTTACCTACTCACAATGAAGTAGGGGAGGCAGAAAGGTAACAGGACCAGTGGCCAACAGGGGAATGCAAGCAGAAAAGCAAAGTAAGGATTACTATGTGGCAGGCCAGCTGCTCTCAAACTCTCACATTTCATTGGCTTTCCTTAGGCCAGTGGAAAGCATTTGCAACAACCGCATGGAATGTGTTGCTTTATGACTGAGAGTAAGCATGGTTAGATGCTACAGTTATTCTGATCAGTAACCTCCTCCAAGACAAAATGTCAGCATTTGGACAGGCGTTGGTAGCACATGCCTTTAATCCCAGCACTCAGGAGGCAGAGGCAGGCGGATCTCTGAGAGTTCCAGGCCAGCTTGGTCTACAGAGTGAGTGCCAGGATAGGCTCCAAACCTACACAGGGAAACCCTGTCTCAAAAAACCAAAATAAATAAATAAAAATGTCAGCATTTGGAAACCTTCATAAAACTACAAAGCTATAAAGCAGACATTGAACTGGAATATTTACAATGTAAAATATATTGACAAAGATGGGCAGAGTTAATTTTAAGTAGGGGAACACAGGAAAAGAAGGACACACTGAGGTAGAAACAAACCACTCCCAATTACAGTGTGAAGCATTAGGGCTTGTGCTTTGCTGAACCCATTTTATAGACTGAAATGTTTCTAAGACACCGTGAGGCAAGGTTTATTATCCCAGCCTATTATTTCAGCCCAGTGTCAAGCTAGACAGAAACAATGAAACTACTTCCAACACTTTTCTTTACCCACCTGCCACCTGGATGATACAAAAACATAACCAGGGGGTGAATCATGCTTAATGGCCTACTTTACCTTTTCATGTTAATTCCATGGATATGGGTAAAAGTCAGAAAACTGACAAGAGTCACAGCATCTTGTATACATGGCTAAGCACTGGCTGGGCACATAACCACTCATCACTCAGGGCTCTCATTAAATGCTGTGCATGTCAACAATGAAAAGGAGATATTACTCAAGTGTGATTTTTTTTAATTTCTAAAATTTGACAAACAACTCAAAATTTGCTATATACTGGTAAGAAATGAACCTAACCTAAAAGAAGGACAAAATCAACACACACAGGATTGGCACGCTTTGCACTGAGCAGCACAAGGCATAAGAACCTTCCAAGTCATCTATACTCTCAGGGTTGTTACAAGAAGAGAGCATGAAAAACATGATGACTACTGTAGATTCCTCCACGTCTCTGCCCCATGATTTTCCAGACAGAGTTTTTTGGGCAAGATGAACTACTAATCTAGAGTACAGCAGAGTTGAACAACCGAAGACTACAGAAGGTATCTCACTCTTGACTTTTACTATCTCCCAAACGCAACTAAATAAAAGTAATTACTGTATACTTATTTTTTCCAATTATAAACAGTAACAGAAAAATGTTACATAGTGGAAAGGAGACAAGAGATGTGATGAGATGTCAATATGGTAGAAATACATTATATACATGCATGAAAAAATGTCACAATCAAACTCATTGTATAATCTGTGCTAATTAAAACATTGATAAATTACATAAATTATTAACTATACTATAGTCATCTGTGAACATTTAGTAGCTATCTTAGTATACTGGAAATGGGCTTCTGAAGTCAGATGGGATGGATATGAGTAACTGCTCTATGAATATTTTTAGTTGTATGCAAAAATGATTAGCATGGCATATGGAACATATAGCTGGTGCCCAGTGAGTGCCATGCCCCTGCCGTGTGGTGTATGTGGTGTACACACATATTTATGTCGCTACAGATGCCAGAGTATTCAGGTGCCAGGTGTCCTGCTCTTTGATGCACCACCTCATTGTCTTGAGGCAGTTCTATCATTGAATCTAGAGTTAGGCTGGTGGCCAGTGAGTCTCAGCAATGCTTCTCTTCCCACTCCTCTATAGCACTGGGGTTACAGCTGCATCATGTGGCCATACCTGGCTTTAACACAGATGCTGGGGCTGTGAACCTAAGCCCGTATGCTTATACAATGTTCTTACCTGCTGAGCCATCACCCTAGTCCTGCAATTCTCCTTTTAGTAAGTATCCAGTATATTCTGGAATGTAAACATTGACAGCTAGACTGCTAAACATTTAGTTTCCCATGGGAATGTGCAACATCATTATTAGCATGATATTCTGAAAGTTCTAGTGCTACAGCAGCTGCTAGTGGTTACTCAGGGAGTGTTACTAATATATGTTTATATTTTAAAGTGAAATCACATCAGATACATTAACCATCTAAATGGGCAATGAGGTCTCCTTATAGGGAATAGAGGCAGCAAACACTGTCACTATCTCATCCAGTAACACAACAATAGGCCAAAGCAACTATGATTCTCAAAACATTTTTCACAAAACATGAATCTAAGTGATGAGCAAAACCATACTATATTCTCAACTAGCATGTAACAACATTAACCCTTCATTAGTAGACGACATGGGCTTCCCCTGCCATTACTGTAACACAGAAATAAAAACATGATATTTTCCTTAAAGTAAAACAGCAGAAAAAAAATCACTTGAAAAATGAAGTGAGAAATGAACTCACAGAGTAAATCCCCTGGAAATGACTTCAGTTTCTTGGATAAGACGCAGAGATTTTCTCACAAGGTTGGTGAAAGCTCGGCTATTTGCGGCCATATCTTCCAAACGGACCCTATATTTTTTCAGAGTCATTTGCAGTTTGGCTGTCCTCCATAATTTCAAAGCTCGTGTGATCAAGTAAAGCAATAGAATTATTCCCCATACCATCCAGGAAGACACAATCCACCAAGTGGGAAGCATAATGAGCAAACTAATGAAGGCAAATAGCAGCGATACATCCCTATGAACACAGAAGCCAAGAAAAAGACAGTCATCAGACAAGCGAGAGAGCTCAGTTACTTGAGTTAGTAAAAACAATGATAGATTTCAGTTTATTAAAACGAAATGCTACCTTCTTTATGAAGCAATACTTTAAATGTGACATACGATAGGGTGATGTGGAATAGTTTTAAACACCTAGCATGTTAGGTAATGCTGCCTAGATATTAAAATTTGAGCTGGTGAATTAAGGACACTGGCAAGAAGTGTCTTCTGCAACTGTTTCAGGAAGCATGGCATTTAATATGTAAATTACAGATTAAAAACCCAATTTTACAAATTAGATTTAAAAGTAAAAATAGTATCTCAGAGGTAGTTTGAGTTTGTTTCTCCCAAAGCCATTTTGCAGAAAAGCATATTTCACCCAGAAGCTGCTCTATGTTTTACTTGCAGGTATGATGGTACATGCCTACAACTTGGACACTTAGGAGGTTGGGTATACATATAGGCTACAAAATAAAACCTTGTACCATCAAAATCAAAGTCAAAACAACAACAATAAAACATAGCTGGTAACTGAATAGTCATCTAATTTAATAACATCATTAATTGAAACCACATTTTTTTCCATAGATCATGAAGTAGACAAGCTTTATACTTCTTTAGTGTATTAATGGTAATGAGAGTATCCATACAATTTTTATTTGGGTCAATTAAGCAATGGAAACTTTGGTGAACACAGACAAATGTATGTGAGACTCTGTGAGAACAGCATCAACAATATTTGGGAGTTACAGTGATACTCAAAAAGTCATGTGAGAATACTATATGTGTTGCATGTGGCTATCATTTTCCACCTTTCTTTTTGAAACAGGCTCTTTCACTGAACCTAAAGCTCATCATTTTGACTACACCCTCTGGCCAGCAAGGCCTCTGGGTCTGCTAATCTCCACCTGTCCACTGCTAGGGCAGGTTCATACCACCACATCTGGCTTTAGACTTTATATGGGTGTCAGGGATCTGAATTCAGACACTACTGCTGGTGTGGCACTGAGCCATCTCTCAGTCTGGAGAATGATTCTTAGTAAATGTTAGCCCTAACTTCTTCCAGAATGCATTACTTCTAGTAAAATCATAAATTAAAACTGCATCCTTCACTTTTATATGTTAACAGCTGCAGTGGTTTGAATGAGAACGCCCTCCGTAGGCTCACATATTTGAATGCTTGGTCACTAGGGAGTGGAGCTGTTTGAGAAGGATCAGGACGTGTGGTCTTGTTGGAGGAAGTATGTCACTGGAGGTGGGCTTTGAGGTTTCTCTCTGTCTGCTGCCCATGGATCAGGATGTAAAGCTCTCAGCTACTCCTTCAGAACCACACCTTTCTGCTTCCTGCCAAGATGACATGGACTGACATAAAACTATAAGCAAGCATCTGAGGAAATGCTTTCTTTTATAAGTTTCCCTGGTCATGGTGTCTCCTCATTGCAATAGAATTGTAATTGACAATAGCAAACTCTAAAAGCATTTACAAACGCTCCTAATTGCTCAGCCAGTCACCCTCATGGATAAAGCACCACCATGGCTAATCCTTAAAAATCTCTGTGTGCCCATGTATATGCATGTGCACATACATGTGTATGTATGCTTGGGGGGGGTCACAGGTCAACTTCAAGTGTCATTTTTCAGGTGCCACCCACCTTGTTTTTCATTGTTCTTGTCATTGTTGTTCTGAGACAGGGTCTCTCTATTTAGCCCTGGCTGCCTGCTACCTGTTATATAGACCAAGCTGGCCTCAAACTTAGAGAAATCCAGCTGCTTCTGCCTCCTGAGTGCTTAGTGTATAGTCATGCTCCATCACAACCGGCCCCCTTTGTTTTCTGCCTTTCGTCTTTCCAAACAGGGGCTGCTCAGTGAGCCCCAGGCTCTGCCTCCCCAACACTGGTATTAAAAGCATATACTATCATACCAAGCTTTTAAAATGCAGGGTTCTAGGGTTGGAATCATGTCCTCATGCTGGCATGGTAAATGTTTAGTGAGCCTCTTAGTAGCCTATACTGTAGTCATACTTGTGGGACCCCAGCTACACACCACCGTGCCAGGCAAATTCCTCTATTTTTAACGAGAAAAATGTTTACTTTTTCATGATGGTATCTCAGTGACTGCTGCCTTGGAAGCACACTTGGCTATCTATTACAATGTGACAGGAGAGAGACTCAGACACAGGACAGTTAGCACAGCTACTATGTGACTTGAACAGTTGGGCAGTGACTCAGTACATTCCTGGAGTCAGTTTTCCCTTCTCTGTCACACATGATAAATGAACAGAAAGGCACCGACAATGGCAAACATGTATGCACATACAGAAAATAATTTATCTTTCCCTTTTTGAAAAAACTATCTTGCTTTTTTGTTTTTTGTTTTGGTTTTTACGAGACAGGGTTTCTCTGTATTGTTTTGGAGGTTGTCGGTCCAGCCTGGCCTCGAACTCACAGAGATCCACCTGCCTCTGCCTCCTGAGTGCTGGGATTAAAGGCGTGCGCCACCACCGCCCGGCTTGAAAAAACTATCTTAAGACACCTTATGACCTAGGTCTTTTGCATTAGACCCAAATATTCTCAGCAGATGAAAGGTTTGGGTTGTTTTCTTTGACTGTGTTATTTTCTTTTGAGACGAGGTCTTTGCTTTCCAAGTAAGCCTTAGAATAGTTCAAATCATTAGGTATATTATCAGCTATGATCTCTTCTCAGCCAATATATCAATAATTGGTGCTTTATTTCTATGAGCCAACCATTAGCATCTCTGTAATGTAGCTATGACACTACCTGGCTAACTGACATGCACACTGCATTGTCACATTGATATTTTGGTACATTTATCACTGACAGTTGAGTTGCTAAGCATAGAACTAATTTTGCTGAGTTGGAAATACATGATGATTTTTTCCCCCCCAGCACTTTGGTTTTGTGTTGAATCTCTGGCATTATCACTACATTTGTTGTAATTCTAAACATATGGACTATTCAGGCTGGAGAGGTGACTCAGAGGTTAAGAGCCCTGACTGCCCTTCCAGAGGACTCAGGTTCAATTTCCAGCAACAACATGGAGGCTCACAGCCATCTTTAATGAGTTCTGATGTCCTCTTCTGGTGTGCAGGCATATGTGGAGGAAGAATGTTGTACACATAGCAAGTAAATATTTAAAACAAAAGCATAGGGAATTTTCGTAAGGCTTTTACAATAGAGAATACTATGGTAGATTTCTTCTGCCAATATTCTACATGTAAGCAGTCAAAAGAGAAATGTTTTTCGGACATTACCAAACATTAGGGGTTGCCAGGGAGCAGAGTGTTGGAAGGTGTCCATTTTCCTGGGGAGGGTGCCCTGCAGACAGGATGCTGGGATCAAGTAGCTCAATTAGCTCCACATCCTCTTGTAGCAGGACTTCCTGTTGCAGGATGGTATGTAATGAGTCCAGTCGGAATCCAGTATCCTTGTCATCAAAATACAGGAAGAGACATATTAATACCTATGTAATACTGTATTAAATGCTAAGTTTAGCATAATTACAGTCACATGTATTTATTTTAAAAGTAGAATCTTGTAAGAAACAACAATTCAATCTTTCTTTAGTGTGACAGGTATTATTTTCACTATAAATATAAAACAATGAAGATTGAGGAGGATATTATTAAGGTATCAGATGTGAAAAATCAGTTTTTAGTAATGAAATGTAAGGTAATTTCAGATTAATAAACCTAGCTACTTATGCCTTCTTAGTTAAATTACTGATATGCAATGTGAAAAATACAACACAAACAGAAAATATAATACAAACGACGCTGGCTCTGGAGACTCGAACAATAGAGCCTGTGTGATAGTCTGGGTGAGAATGGCTCATACACTTGAACACTTAGCCCCCAGTGGTAGAACAGTTTGGGAAGGATTAGGAGGTGTGACATTGTTGGAGGAGGTGTGTCACTGGGGATGGGGTTTCAAGTTTTAAAAGTCTTGGGCCTTTTTCACTGTGCTCGCTGCCTCCTGCTTGAGGCTCAAGATGTATACTCTACCATGGCTTCTAATTCTCTAAAATCCTAAGCTGAATTAAATGCTTCCTTTTATAAGGTGCCTTGGTCATGATTTTGTGACAGCAATAGAAAAGTAACTAATACCTTGGCCAGTATTAGTTAAGAACTTTAGCAGAGGAATCAAGGCCTTCTAAAAATAGACACTCAAACACTGAAGACCAAAAAAAAAAAAAAAAAAAAAAAAAAAAGAATGAATGAATGAATGAGACTCTATAAGTCTCTTCCTTCAGAAGTGCAGAAGACCATGCCTCAGGCATGCTAGCAAGTCCTCTCTCACCCAGCCATACCCCTAGTCTGTAAGTCTCCACACTTAGGGCTTTGAGAACACGGAAAGCAAATGGTACAATAGAAACGTGCACTGGGGGACGGAAGCTGCTGTCACAGTGACACAGAAGCACTGAAGTCAGAAAACGAAAGAGGGCAGTTGGACAGCACGAGCAAACCTGACTGGGCAGTGGGGAGGCTGAAGCAGAGGGGATAAAGTCTTGGGCGTGGCATCTGCCATCAATGGTGAGCGAGCCTGAACGGCCAGTTCCCACAGCAGCCTCTGAGGTGCACTCACGGAGATTGAGTAACTCTCCAGAATTCTCCTTTCAAAGCTTAAGGCTCTGGGAGTTATTTCCTGTTTATTTAAACTTTTCAAGCTTCACAGCAAGTGCCTTGACCCCAGGAGCCATCTTTCTGGCCCTGGCTTGTTTACGTAATGTGCAAGAACATAAACGTGGGCCGGGCATGGTGACTTATGCCTGCAATCTCAGCACTCAGGAGGCTGGAAAGGAGGACAGCAACATTTCTGAGATGAGGGTGGGTTATTTAGTGAGCCCTGGACTATTCTGGGCTACAGATGAAGACTGCCAAGCAAAAAATGAAACAAAAGCAGAAATAAAGTAAAATAAAACAACATAAAATTATGTCAATGGGGCTCCATGTGAGTTTTGATACATACATATTATGGGATGCTTACATCAGGTTAAACATATTTATTTTCTCAAACACTTATCATTTCCATATGGTGAAATTTTCTAAGATCCTTCCTTACAGTTTTTGAAATGCACAGTGTATTAATGATATTTATAGAAAACTACTGTGCTCTATCACTTAAGCAAGTTGATAACTTTTCAATGCCAATTTCCTCATCTGCAGAAGGGGTAAACTAGTTAACAAGAGTACCTAAGTCATGAAGAGTTTCTATAGAAAGTATTATGTGCTTTACCACATATGAAATAATTAGAGCCAAAAACCACAGAACATGTTATGTTTATACTACGAAACATAAAACCTACCAAATAAGAGCATAGGTAACTGTTACTAGGCTGGTAAGGCAAATAAGGTCCAATAGGATGAGTGTTCAGAACAGCTAGCATTGCTTCCTGAAAACACTGCCACAGACAGAGAAAACGGAGGAATTCCATCACAGAGCAACAGTGCAAATACAGCCCTAAGGATAAATGAGACGGAAGACTGGATTTGTGGATAGAAGCAGCTATGGAGAAGCTGCCAAGGGAGGTTAGGGTTACACTGGGCAGACTCTTTAGTGCTGAAGTGACGCTGAGCTCATGTGATGGTAACAGCAATTTTGGTTTTTTAAAAAGTATCAGTACTCAAGCTAGAGAAGCAGTATGTTTTACTGTAAAAAGTACAGACTTTGGATTCAGATATAGGTTCAAATTCTCCCTCTATCATTTCCTTGCTGAACATTCTTGAACAATTCAGTTAAAAAGTTACTAGGCAAAGCTGTCTAAACCTTGGTTTTCTCTCACTGGTACCACAGATCAAGTCTTATTATGTGGTTTGAAAGCATTTTGTAAATGACTGCTTTACAAAAGTTAACAGAATGATAATTCTTCGGGTCACAGGCCAGCAGACAATCCTAACACCTGCTCACATCTCTGAGAATCAAGAGAACTTAGCAAATCGAATGTTCTAGGCATATGGCACGGATGTTACACTGGTAGGTTATAAGGATGACTAAGTCTCTTTAGAGGTTGGGCTAAGCAACAGACACAGTGCAGCAGTGAGAGAAAGAGACAGAGAGGTGGGGAGGGAGTTTTACAGGAACCAGAAAAGCCATCAGAACTAACTGACTCTGGGAAGTGTGATTTATGGTCCCTCAGGACTGGACTGGTTGTGCCAATCGGTGCATTTATTTCCTTCCTTCCTAAGAGCAATACCAGCCAATGACAGAGATGGCAGTGAGTTAGCAGTCTAACAGACAAGGCCTCAGCAACACCAGAACACTGGCTACCTTTTCTAAGAAATATGAACAATATCAGCAAGCCCCATTCAGAGGTTCCCAGTTATTGTGTAGAATTTCTAATAAAGATCAATCACATCAAAATCAAAGCAAAACAGATTTTGATCCCTCAGTTCTCACTATTATAAGGGACCCTGGAGAGAGTAACAAAACCAAGAAAAGTGAACAAACACTCACCAACTTGTGGAGTAATTGATCCTTCTTACTGAACTGAGTAGAAAAAGTCCAGCTCTTGATGGTTTCTGTCAGTTTGAACAGGATGCCTTGCTAAAGATGATCAACGACATGTATAGGATTATTAATTAAATACACTCAAAATGTAGAAAAACTAAACAATGTAACTGGAATTTTTGTCAGAAAAAGAGAAAAGATTTGGTCACGTTATACACTCTGGTCAGCGTATTACAGCCTCCTCATTTATTTCTACTTTTAGTTGTGCAACAGAATGACCTAGAAATTGTATTTGAATTACATTCCTGGGTCCTTAAACTACAGTTTAATTCAATGGATTGAAATGAGGCCTGTAAATCTGATTTTTAAAAAAACAGTCAAAGTTGCCCTAATATAATAGCCCATTTATCTTGGGAATACTAAAGGCTATCTATATCAACATGACAATTATGTTTATAGTAATGGTCCAAATTATCAGTATTAATATCATTTTGTTATAAAATACTAAAGCAAAAAGATATTTTAATCCTTTTATAAAAACTGTCATGTACCAAAAGTTTTATTAATGAATCAATTAAATATGTAACTTACTTTAACAGCTCCATTCCCTGAGCATGCCAGTAAATGAAGTCTATAATCACTTAGTAGGGGTGGAGAATTGGCTCAGCTGTTAAAGGCTAGGCTTAGAACCCAGAATATAATCACTTAATGATTCCCATGTCCCAAGAACTGTGAATAGTCATGGGAACAAAGAAAAATACATGGAACTGCTACGTTAAAGACTTCATAAAGAAGCAAGGACAGAACAAATAGTTCACAGCAATGTAAAGTCCTCATCCAAATGAAAAATCATTGATATCTTTATAAAAGTCACCAGCAATTTTTAAGGCCAAACATCTGACTATAATAATCCAAAGTTATACTATTTTGATATATGCATGTTTAAAGAATGATGGTAATTACAGAAAACAAAGACTTCAGGTATTTCTTTCTTCTTTTTTTTTTTTTTTTTTTTGGTTTTACGAGACAGGGTTTCTCTGTATTGTTTTGGAGGCTGTCGGTCTAGCCTGGCCTCGAACTCACAGAGATCCACCTGCCTCTGCCTCCCGAGTGCTGGGATTAAAGGTGTGCGCCACCACCACCCGGCTCGACTTTAGGTATTTCTTACAGTCATTCTTCTCTGAATGATTTTTCACTTGGGACCAGGACAGACTTGCTAGACTTTCTTTCTTGCTGTTTTTTTTTTAAATAATTGTGTTTATTTATGTATTTTACATCTCAGTCACAGTTTCACCTCCCTCACTCCCCTCCTCTGTTCTCACCCCCCATACCCATTCCCCCTCTGTTTCTGTTTAGCAAAGAGCAGGTCTCCCATGAGTATCAACAAACCATGTCATATCAAGTTGCAGTAAGACTAAGCACCTCCCCATGTATTGAGGATGGGCAAGGCGACCCAGTATGGTAGGGTCCCAAAAGCCAGTAAAAGAGTCAGAAAAAGTCCTTGCTCCCACTGTTAGGAGTCCCACAAGAAGACCAAGCTACACAACTGTCACATATAATGCAGAGTGCCTAGGTCAGTACCATGCAGGCTGTCTGGTTGTCGGTTCAGGCTGTGAGCCTCTATGAGCCCAGGTGAGTTGGTTGCATGTGGTTTTTCTTGTGGTACCCTAAACTTTCTGAATGGCACTAACCACATGCCTACCATTTGTGTGTTTTTAAAAGAGGCATTATCATCATTGACAATCACAGAATCAAAATATCAACAAATTCTGAGAAAGGATAAATAAGTTCTGCATCCTCCAGCATCAAATATTCAGTGAAGATTTGCCTCTTCATGCAAAAATAATCAACCATTAGTATATAAATTGGCTTTTTTTGGGGGGGGGATACAGGGTGTAGATCAGGCTGGATTCAGAAACTTACATGCCTCTGACTCCCAATGCCAGGATTAAAGGCATGTGCCACCATGCCCACCTGCTTTTGATTTTAATACATGGTCAAATCATATGCACATAAATAATTATTATTTTTAAATTATTTATTTGTATTTTATGTACATTGATGTTATGCTTGCATATATGTCTGTGTGAGTGTTGGGTTCCCTGGAACAGGAGTTACAGACAGTTGTGAGCTGCCATGTGGGTGCTGGGAATTGAACCAAGGTCCTTTGGAAGAACAGCCAGTGCTCTTAACCGCTGAGTTATCTCTCCAGCTCCCCGATAAATGACTATTTTAAAGTAAATTTTGTTATCATTTATTACCAGAAAACATCTGATTTGTATACCTGTTATATACCTAGATACTCAGGGTTTCACAAAAATGTCTTTGGGCAAAAGGGATCATGAGTGGAAAAAGTTTAAGGACCTCTGAGCTAGGGCAATGATGACTCAAGAAGAGGTTTAAAGAAGATTAGAAGATGTACTGACTCCATTACTATGTTCCTTTACCTCCATGATTAATAGATTATTTCTTTATGCAAGGTCAGAGAGGCATCCTTGATAAACTTGACACAAGATGTTAAATGTTGACTTCCCTCTGGAATTAGTCTCTTCTGACCTGTTTTGAAAACACAATACTCAATTCTATACAACTTGTAAGAGGGAGTCTTGAGATGGGCTGGAAGTTGGGATAGACATTTGCTGATCTTGCATAGCCCTAATGAGCTGAGTCAAAGCAGATGTGGTGTGTTGTTCAGGGTCATTGAAGCAGATGTTATGGTCAACCCCTTGGCTTGGGCCTTCTGCATTTCTGGAGATTTTCTCATGTTTTGTTGAATTGAGGGTACTTGGAGTGTGACCAGGAACCAGATCTTATACATCAGTATCAACATCTTGGCACAATGCCCCACAACAGAACCTAACTGTTCAATTTTTACATGTAATTTTACAAGAAACAGAAAACCCGGTAGGGCTCTGTGTGTGTGTGTGTGTGTGTGTGTGTGTGTGTGTGTGTGTGTGTGTGTTAGAATGAACACCTGCTTGGTATAGAAAAGTGCCATGTTTAAACCACAGCACTAAAGCAAAAACCCCAAGCAACAACAGAAATTGACTGGTAAGATGGCTCAGCTAGTAAGGCCTCTCGCCACCAAGTACGACCACCTGAGTTCAGTTCCCAGAACCCACAGCAGAAGGAGAAAACCGACTCTTGCAAGTTGCCAGTGTAGAAAAAAAGAATTAAAAACCATTTAATAGAGAACTATCACTGGCAAAGTGCTAACTGAGGTTTTAATATATTCCTTTGGTCTTCTTCAGATAACTTCAATATTTAAAGAAGTATTTTAATTCTCAAATCATTTTCATTTGCTCAGCTCATATAAATTACTTACAAAAAATTCCAGGATAGCAGTAAGGACTGAAGTTTATCTTTGATAGTTGTATTCTATCAGTGAAATAAAGTCTTAGTAGTGTGAGAAGGAATTGAACTCAGGACCTTGAGCATGCTAGGCATGCACTGTTACTACTGAGCCACATCTGGCCCTAACAGATAGTTTACCTAATCACTGAGGTAAAGAACAAAAGGCTAAACCATGCAAGGTGAGCATGCTTTCTTACTTTTGGTAGGACTCTTGTGGAAGGTTTTTGAGGTCCCTCTGTAGGCAAACATTTTTCTGTTTTTGGTGGCAAAGAAGAACATATTTCAAAATCTGTGTGTCCCAAATCCTGTAAGTACCGGTAAAGTGGAGAATTCTGAAAGAAACAGGAAATGAAGCAAGTTTCAAGATCACTAATATTTCAAAAGTTTTAGGATCAAATTCAGAATCATACATGAGTAGTGACTTATGTCACATTTTTTTAAATGGCTTTTCTTGTGAAAACTGATCTGCTATAGTAAAATGCCACTGCACATCAATAAATCAACCAACATGCAACAAAAAGACCCAAAAAGGAAAAGCTCTAAAAAGACACACATATTTTGAGTGAACACTTGTAAGAAAAATGAACTCAAAATTATAAATAGATTTAAGCAACTTTTTAATCCAAATTTTTGTTGTCTTTAAGTAGGCCATTCCAAACAGGCAGTGCTGGCTATTGATAACTGTTATGAGGACCTAGAATAAAAGCTATTATTTAAAGCCAAGAATTAAATATATTCATTATAATTTTATGTGTAATGTTATATAACTTATTACTTTATTTAGCACTAATATGCATATTACCCACCATGCTTGGCACTACAAGCAATTCAAGTTACTTTAGGAAAGCTATCACTCACATATTAGATAATGCAGATATGAGAGAGGCTGGCTTAAAATAAGCATGAGATCACAGTGGTAAGAACACAAACATCTTGACATGGGAGTGATATAACGCCCTACATTCCCAAAACTAGGGAGGCAGACAGGCTGTCTATTTGTTAAAACTCTGTCTCACAGCAGACAAATGAAAAAATAAACTCAACTCTGGAAGCAAAGTTTAGGTTCAAAATCTAACTCTGATTGTTACTAAGTAATCTGTGGCAATTTAACCAGGATGCTTCAGCTGTCTCACCTAAAACCAGGAGACTTCCATTAATGCAAAGAGGTCTCAACATGGTGTGTGCACCTTTACACCCAGAAACTGAGAAGCAAAGGCAAGTGGAACTCTTTGAGTTTTAAGCCAGAGTTTGGCTGCTGGTTCCAAACAGTTAGGCTTTCCAACTTGGTTGGGGTATGTTTACACCAGTTGTGGTAACTGCACTCACGGCCTTGACTCTGGTCTACGCTGCCATAAAGCAGCTTGTAGCATACTGACCATAAACCTTTTTGTCTGCATGAGTAAAAGCTTAATATGCCATGCAGCATGCTGTGTGGCTTGGAAACACAGCCTCTGTGTACTACAGCAGGAATCTGACATGCTGTGTTCAAGCCCAGCATCTCTCCACCTTGGTCTGCATGAGACTGTGAGACTAGCAAGCCCACAGCAGCTCCGTTTTACATGGAAATTCTTGCCCCATGTTGGGCGCCATTTGTAGACAGAGGTTTCTATTCCACATGGTCCCACAATCATTTAGCCCCAAATAAACACAGAGGCTTATATTAATTTTATTTATTTATTTATTTTTTGGTTTTACGAGACAGGGTTTCTCTGTATTGTTTTGGAGGCTGTCGGTCCAGCCTAGCCTCGAACTCACGGAGATCCGCCTGCCTCTGCCTCCCGAGTGCTGGGATTAAAGGCGTGTGCCACCACCGCCCGACTGAGGCTTATATTAATTATAAATTGTTTGGATAATGGCTTAGGCTTCTTACTGGATAGCTCTCTCTTAGTTATTAACCCATAACTATTAATCTATGTATTTCTACATGGCCTCATCTTACAGGAGAATGCACGGCATCCTATCTTCCTGGTAGCTAAATGGCATCTCTCTGGCGGCTCCTCTATGTGTCCTCTCCCCAGAATTCTCCTGGTCTAGTAGCCCTGCGTATACTTCCTGCCTGGCTACTGGCCAATCAGTGTTGTATTTATCAACCAGTAAGAGAAACATATATATTAAAGCATTCAGGACATTCCCCATCAGTCTATATTGTGAGACTGTGTTTCAAAAACAAAATCAAAACCAGAAAGCACTTAGAACAGTCCCTGGCATATACCTTTTTGAAAGTTAAGTGGAAAGGGGATAGGTCAAGGAACAGAGCCCTGGCTCAAGCATTGCCTAACAGTTTCTGCCAAGACTGAGACATTCTACCCTGCAGGGAAGCTTTTTAAGCAGGGAAGTAAAAAACACAAAATATCTTCAGGAAGTCCCCCAAACTGACTAAATTCTCTAAGCCCTCCCTGCCAGAGAAAGCAATAGAAGCAGCCACTTCTTGTAAGACAAATAAAGCTGAGCTGTAAAGACGACTCCCAGATGAGCAAAGCTGCAAAGGACACCAAGACCAGACTGTGGGAGAAGCGGACACCAGCCAAGATATCTGGAAGAGCGTTAGACCACCTGAGGCAGCTGTGAAGGAAAGCTCCAACCTGCTGAGCTGCAGCAGGCTGTGCAGTGCGCTCCAGGTTCCCAGCTTTGTGAGCTCTCACCCTTGCAGTGGTGGGCCTTGGTGATGCAGCTGTCTTTGAGTCTTTCTGCTCTGTAAGTAACCCCTCATCCATACCCAAGTTGGACTTTTGGGTATGTGTACTTTGTCTGTCGTGGGATCCCTATGGGGTAAGTAGATGTGTGTAGCATCTCCCCAGGAAAGTTTTGTCACACAACATAAAGTCATCCCAATTCCACTAAAAACAAACATACTGTTACTATTAGATGAAAATTTATTGAGAAACTTACCTTGGATCGTTAGCATAGATTAATTTTAACCTTTCTAAAGTAACAATTGGGCAAAACGTTTAAAAGTTAAAAAACTTGAGGGACTAAAGAGGTGACTCAGTGCAGTGGTTAAGACTACTTACTGTTTTTTTCAGAGGACCTAAGTTTGGTTTCCAGAACCCATATATGGTGGCTAACAACCCAGTGTGAGAGCACACACACACACACACACACACACACACACACACACACACACACACACACACACACACACACACACAGACTTTGACGGTGTAGAGAGATGGGTCAGCAGTTAAGAGCACTTATGTTCTTGCAGAGGACTCAGGTTTGGTTCCAAGCAATAACCATGGCAGTTTAAAACTGTCCATAACTAACTCCAAGTCTTGGGGATCTGATACTCTCTTCTGACCTCCACAGGCACCAGACATGTAAAACCATATAAAACACCTATACACACAAAATAAACAATTTTTAATGTCTGATTCTCTTCAATGAAATACTCAAATTTTAAAAAACAAACAAGAGGTTGGGTGGTGGTGACACTCGTCTTTAATTTCAGCACTCGGGAGGCAGAGATAGGCAGATCTTTGGGAGTTCAAGACCAGCCTGAGCAAGTTCCAGGATTGGCTCCAAAGCTACAGAGAAAACCCACCTTGGAAAACCAAAATAAAAACAAACAAAAAAATCAAGAACATCAAAATCTGTTAGAAAACCAGTTAGAGACAGCCACACTAGCAACAGAGCTGCCAAACTAATTTATGCAAGAGAGAAACTGACTCTCCAGAATACTCTAGTTTATTTAGGAATAGCAACTTGAAATATGAGGTGCACATGTGCCATGGTGGACACACTCAGAGAGTTGAAATTTGGAGTGCTCATGTGCCATGGTGGACATACTTATAGAACTGGGGCAAAGAAAGGGTTTTAAGGTTCAAAGAGCCACTGGTTACAGGGGCTGATGGAAGGGGCTAAGTTTTATTCATTGGAGCTGTGACCAGTGAAGGGTCTGCATAGAACTGGCATAACCAGAAAATTTTAGTTTGGGGGAAATCCTCTGTGACAGTGTCTATTACTGTCACGTATACATCAGGCATACAAAGGGACTCCAGGGAACATTTTTGCTTGGGTTGGGCACAAGTGACTTGGGCCTAAGTGTTTGGTACAGACAACTTTGACACAGCTAACTTTGTGACAGAACCTAAGTATATTTGACTTGTACCATCTCTCTACAAGTTCTAAAGGGCATCTCACTATATCATTGTTAGTGTTATTCCCTTATCTAGATGACAAGGGATTCACTCAGCCAGAGAGATGGTACTGAATAAAAAATTTGACTACAAAGCCAACACTATGAAATATTACAGTAAACTCCCTTAGCTGTCTAAATGAATGGTTCTCAACTTGTGGGTTGTGATGCCTTTGTGTCGAACAACCCTTGTGAAAGACCTAAGACCATCAGAAAACACAGGTATTTACATTATAATTCGTAACAGTACCAAAATTACAGTTATGAAGTAGTAATGAAAATAATGTTACGGTTGGGGTCACCACAATATGAGGAACTGTATTAAAGGGTTTCAACAATAGGAAGATTGAGAACCACTAGTCTAAATGAAAACACCAAAGAAGCTTACTTACAGCTTTATTCAGAGAAAATAGATGACTACAGGAATATATGAGAATGTTACAGAAACAAGAGACAATACCCTTGAGTTACCTATTTGATGGAATTCAATGTAAGGACCAGGAATAGTAGACAAATGCCTTCCTTTCAATTTCACTTTTAAGAATCATACTTTAAACAGCATAAGGAAAAAATGTTTCTTATCTCCTTATTCAATTTTTAAGTTTCTAATAGCACATATGGCTAATTTTCTTTGAGATATGGGCTTTCTATTATAGCACTAGCTGGCAGACCCAGAACTCATGATCCTCTTGCCTTGGCCTCCCTAGTGCTAGGATTATGAGCTCAGGCCATCACGCTCAGCTTCAAATTGTTAACTGGCTTTGTACCATGTGCTGATTTTAGAGACAGGGTCTCCCGGAGCCTGAACTGGCCTGGACTTGCTATATAGGCAAGAAAGACTTTGGTCTTTTGACCCTCCCGCTGTTCCTGGTAGTTTGTGTGCTGGGGACAGAATCCAGGGTTTTTCATTAGGTAAACACTTTAACAACTAAATTCTTTCTCCAGCTTCTAAATGATTCATTTTAAAATCACCTACAATGTGTATTGAAATAATGCCTCGGGTTACTCAATCTGTATTTTCAAGTTGAACCTTGAATCCTATCTGGCTCTGCCTTAGGGGTGGCAAAAGAACACTAGTTAGTTCATTTGTTTGGCTAGATCTTCTGAAAGGTTTACATACTAAAAAAACAAAAACAAAAAACAAAACCCAAAACTTGTTTTTAGAACCCTTTCTTCACAGGAACTCCTAGGGGGAAG